GACGCAAGCAGACCACAAGCATGAGTTCTCTGATTATTAAAAAATATCCGAGCAAATGACGTGTAATTTCCGAAATCCCATCGCCAAGTTTAAAGACCGCCCCTGAGTGACCTCGAGTGGAAAATAAAGCTAATAAGTAGTAAGCTCGATGAAGGAAAAACAAAGGAAGGACAAAGCTTGCTGCTTCGGATGACAAAATTGCTCTTTTTTCAACTGATGACTATCAAAAATTGTTGTCTAAGCACCCTCAGCGAGTTAAATTTGCTGCTACAAAACAAGTGAATTTTGATAGTTTTTTGGTAGCCAAATTCGATCAATACGAAGCCAGAATGTCATTTCACTAACGGATCAACAGCAGTTCCGGATAAAGTGGTTCCTCAAATTTTTAAAAACCTTGCTAGTAAGTCGAATGGCAGTGCAGGACTTAATTTTTTGAAATCGCTTGCAAAGCTGATAAACCTCATTGGAGATGGCAAAACACCCGAACCCTTAAGACCTTTCTTTTTTGGCTCAAAGCTTATTGCCCTCATAAAGATAGACGCAGGGTTGAGACAATATGACATAGGCAACACGCTGAGACGTATTGCGTCTAAATACGCTGGCAGCAAGGCCCTCTCCCAGCGACAAAAAAATTTCGGAAACCTACATTTAGATGCGGCACTAAACGAGAAGCAGAAATAGCTGCACACTCCTTTCGAAACATAATTGAGAGCGACGACAATCCAAAATTCGCTATTCTTTTGAAACTAGATTTTAAGAACGCCTTTAACTCTCTAAATAGAGAAACAATGCTGAATCAAGTTTTTCAATTCGTCTTGAATTGTACAAATCCACCCATTGCGCGTATAGTAAACCTAGTTACCTTTTTTACGAAAGCTCTATCATAATGTCAGAAAACGGAATTCATCATGGCGATCCTGAAGCCCCAGCCCTTTTTGCTGAAGCAATTCAGACACTAGTCAAACAGTTGGAGTCGCAAACGAATATCTGGTATTCAGATGACGGAAATTTAAACGACGACTATAAGGTAGTACACCGGGACTCTAAAATAATAGTGAAATCGGAACAATTTTACGGCCTGAGCTTGAACACTGAATAGTGCGAGCTTTAATTTTTGATACCGACTCCGAGTACAAGTATAATTCAATTTTAACACTTGATTCAGAGCTGAAAAAAATCTCCAATCATTGACAACCTAGACATCCATTATGGTTTTTAACTCCTGAAAATTGCCTTAGCATGCCAAAACTCCTTTATTTTTGCGTACGAGACCTTGTTTTTTGCAAAATGATTTTTTGGAACGCTACGAGAAACTAAGAAGAAATTCGTTATGCAAGGTGACTAATGGTAAAATTGGGTGATAACCAGTGTTTACCAGCAGTTCGTCCGGCAGCCAAAGGTGGCTTGGGTTTTTCTTCCGCTCGCCTACTAGCTCTACCAGCTTTCTTAGCCTCAGCATTAGGAGCAAAAAATGCCCTAAGGGAAGGTTATGGTTTGGAGCTTGCGGATGGAATCTATGATGATGCACTTAAGTGGTTGTTTCATATTAGAAAAATTGAAATGGATCCAACAAACGAAATCCAAAAAAATACACTCTATCATCTAAGTTCATTACTCATATATTGACAACGGCTCTAAAATCAATCAAGTGAGATAATTAAGGTTTTTCTAGAAGTTTAAAGAAGTAATTAGTTTTGACTGAAGCAGTTTTATCAGTTTGGACCATTAGGTCGCTTGATTGGTCGATTTTCCCAATCAAGATTTCCTTGCATCAGTAGTAACACTTACGTTACCACTCTCGATGCTCTTTATCGAGAACGAACAAGACAGCTCTGCTCGAATACTGACATCTCTACGTTTTCAAGACAGCTCTAATCGAACAAAACTGCTCTAGCTTACTTTTCCAAGAGTTTTTCAGTACAAGAACCAGACAGCTCTACTCAAACATGACAGCTCTACTCGGATAATTTCAAACCTGATAATGGACAAGTGTACAAAAATGTTCGTAATTTATTATTTTAAATACCTCTACTTGAATAGTTTAATAATAGTTCATATTGAGAATAGCTCGAGTTTTTGGTCCACTTTCTTGCACCTATGTTTTCGGTTCTTCTGATTGTCTGCCTTTTTATTTCATTGCTGCGACAACCTTGAGCATGAAATGGCCGATTTTAATTTTTCAAAAATACCTTTTCACCCCAAAACCAGATTAGCTTCAGGATATGACCGACTGGCGCAACCCTTGCCATTAATGGCTAAATCTATGTTTATAGTTTCAAGAATGTCGTATAATAGGAAAAGCCCTGTTTGTTCCAACTGTCGCTTAAGTCATATCGAATAGTTTTTGGGTAAAAATTATGGAAAAATTATAAGTTTTGGACAATAAGTGAAATTTTGAGCGGAAGAAATTAATACGGCCGATTTGCTAGCCTCAATTCAATTTGGAAAAAATTTGTTGCGCTGGATGATTTGCAACGCATGAGTAATTTGCTTTAAGCATTATGAATAAGTTCTTCAAAGTGCGCATAATATAGTCCAGAACATAGCCAATATGGCAGTTTTCAAACCCCAGAGTTTCACAAAAAAAATCGGAGGTGAAATATCTTTTTGAACTCAGGAAGTGGATACCTTCAATGGGGTATTCCTCGAAAACGGTGGTTTGAACTTGGAAAAATTGAAATGGCTCCGGAAAATGAAATGCAAAAACATTGGACGGAGCCAAATTTTGACAGCGAAGCTGCGCACATGATTTTACGAATCGAACCAACGGACGTAAAAAGATTCAACGCGATCAAAGATAGATTTGGCTCCCGTTGGGTGAACGTCATCCCGTGCAAAAATTGAAGGCTAAAATTGTCAAACCAACGACTAAGAGTTGCAATACGACTTCGATTAGGCACAAAAACTTGCAAACGGCATAAATGTGTGTGCGGAAAAAACGTTACCGAAGATGGTGGGCATGGCTTTTCTTGCCCCAAAAGTGCAGAGAGATTCTCTATGCATTCAAATCTGAATGCCCTTATAAAGCAGAGTTTATCTTCTACTCACAATACGTCTATTTTAGAACCACGACACCTCTACAGGAACGATCAGAGGTGACCAGACGGTTTGATGCTCGTTCAATGGGTTATTGCTAAGCAGCTCTTGTGGTATGTAACGGTAGTAGACTCCATAGCCTCTAGTAGGAGTAGCGCCGGATCTGTTTGTAACTGTTGAAGCGGATGAGCGAAAAAATGACGATTATAAAGACTTAATAGATGATGCGTACCTTTTTCAACCACTAGCTTTTGAGATTCAGGGCGCGGCCGGCCCCAGCACCTAATTTTTTCAGAGCAAGCTTTGTATGAACCTAAACATATGCACTGCAGAACCCAGATCAGGAAGCTTTTTAAAACAGAGAATCTCCCTATTAATACAGATTGAGAACGCCGCTTGCGTATTCGGAACAAAATATGACAAAACAACTTTCGATGAAACTTTTTTTTGTAACACAAATTCATTTGTATATTAGGTTTTCTCGTGTCGATTTGCGTGTTCTTATCGAAGAAAAATTACACGTATCGAGTGTAATTGTGAGCAAATCAACACTTATCATCTCCTTTTTATCATTAGCACTCAAAGGATAATGATACAATGAGAATGATCATCTCCTTTTTTTTAATCAAAATCACTCAATTAACGCTGTAGAACTCGGGTCGCCTGATACCTCTGGACAAAAATTCAGGGTATGGCCCAAGGGCCCAGGCGAGGTTCTGAGAAAAATAGTTGGCAAAACAGTCACCCAATGTATAAAATCAGTTCTTAAAAATCTCATAAAAAATTTCCAACTCTGCATAGGCCAGAAGTGTGGAATCGAATATGCTATCCACAGCTTGATGAACTAGTTTGAGAAACCGGAAACGGATGCCCTACTACTTATTGATGCACAAAATGCCTTCAACTCGCTCAATAGAGAACTTGCTTTAAAAAATGTAGAAATCCTTTGTCCGGCAATACATCATGCGCTGGCCAACTCATATAAATATCCCTCAAATTTATATGTCAATAACACGGTTTTGACATCTACCGATGACCGAAGCGCTGGCGGTGATCTTAAGAGCCTCCGCGCAATACTTGATAACCTGGATGTGCACGGAAAGGCTTTCGGATACAATGCGAAGCCTTCCAAGTGTCAACTCATAGTTAATGAAAACCGTCGTGAAAGCGCCATAAAAGTATTCGAAGGCACAAATATTACAAGGGTAGACGGTTTGAGAGTCCTTGGATCGGTTGTAGGAACACCATCAGCATGCGATAAATACATGGAAAGCAAAATTTAAAAGACAGCTACCCATACTGAAAAGCTTTCCAAAATAGCTAAAACATCACCACAAAATGCGTACTCCTGCTACACAAAGAGTTCAAATAAATTAAGCTTTCTAAGCAGAACAACCCCGAAAGCATTTAAGTAATTTCTAGCAATTTCCAAGAATTTTGACTGGAATAAGTGATGAAGGGACCGCTGACTGTAATCTCGGTTACAATGATATTTTTGACCTTCTGCTTCAAGATGTATGATATAGAGAAGTAATTAAAATATTGAAATTTGAATTTGTTTACTTCCAACTTAGCAGTGTCGTACTACAATAGAAAACAATTACGATAGTAGTCTACATCCAAGATAATGTTGGAGCACGTGAATCAGTCACCTGTCTGAACATTTGTTTTTCGTACATCTCAATCATATAACTTTCAGTATCCATGAGACTTGTCAATTGCAATTTCTTACGTCACTCTATGCCTTAATAACACTTGCACATAATTTTGTTCATGTTAAAATTGTTATAGTTCTCGACATCTTAATTAGAACAGTACTGGCTACGTTTAAGCACCCGTTTTTCTTAAGTGTGCTAAATGAGTTTTTTTTGCGAACATGATAGATACGATAACACGGCCATCGTGGTTTTGGTCAAAATGTGTATTGTTAGGTCTTCTGTTTTTATTAGGCTTTTAATTTTTACAGATATCTTGTGGCAGTGTTAATTTCTGTTAAAGCCAATGGCTAAATGGGGAGAAGGAGACCCGCGTTGGATCGTCGAGGAGCGCCCTGACGCTACAAACGTAAATAACTGGCATTGGAAAGAAAAAGACGCTACGATGTGGTCAAAGGAGAAACTGAAAGAACTGCTATCTGAATTGCAATTCGGAGATGATGCTGGCAATGCGTTGGAAGTAGAAGAAGTTAGCTTCGGAGACGAATGTGAAGCGGTGATAAACAATCGAAAGCAAAAACTTATCTTTCTTTATGAGTTCAATATTACGCTGAAGTCTACGGGTTATACGTCTGAAAATGATAAAATCACAGGAAAAATTGAGATCCCGAATTTAGAACAGCAAGAACCTATTGAGGATGTAAATATTGATTTCATTCAGGAAACTCCAAAATCGACAAACTCTCAATATTACGACTTCTTCAAAAGCAAAGTACGACCCTTTATTCGAGAGAAACTAAAGATGTATGTTACCATGCTAACTAAAGAGTACTCAAAAGGCCTTGTCCTGCCGACTAAGGAAGCAAAAATGACCGTCAATAAACCTGCGGGAGATAGTAAGAAGAGCACAATCGAAAGCCAAAAAGCTGATCAAAGCAATGGCGTACAGACAGGATTGAAAATATCAACATTCAAAATAGAGTTGAAAGAAACATTTCAAGCAACGGCTCACGACATCTTGGAAGCTTTTCTTGATAAGCCACGCGTTGAGGCTTTTACTGGCACTGCTGCTCAAGTAGATAGAAGCAAAGGGGGTGCATTTGGTTTGTATGGAAAAAATATAACTGGTTAGTCATGTTTTGAAATTCGTCTCAGAGCTGTTGAACGGAGCCACATTTTCTCATTGTTGTTTTGTTTCTATGCTAGGTTCATTTGATGTACGAGTTAATTACGCTTGTGGTTAGCAGGCGTGATCACATCGGAATATAGATTTTGTTTAGGTTAACAAATAGTTTAACACAATCACTTGAATCATTTTACCTTTGGCTCAAATGAAGTCAAAAGTCACACGTTAACTCGCGCATGCAGCGAAAATTTAACGCACCTACCTACAAAGACAAAGGTCAATGATTCGAAGCCGGCCAGGACCTGTTTTTTTTGTAAACGGAAAATTGTCCGCGCGTCGAAAAATCGTTACCCGACTTCTGTTTGTCTGCTTGTTTTTTGTCGGATTAAGTTGCCACAGCATCAAATTAGTTTGAAATTTAGGCAATTCTTACCTAAATTTAAAATAACTTCATTGTATTCCGGTTTTGTGCAAATGATTGACTGTCTTATAATCAGGAACTAGATTTTTCAGAATGCATGAAATTGATTATTTTTCCGGTAAAAATTGAGTTGTCGGACTTTCGCTTGTCTGTTCAATTTTTGTCGGCTTAGGTGCCATATCACGAGTTTTTCTTGTGCTGTATCCTAGTATCGTCGTAGTTGCAACTGCTGTTCATTGTAGTTTCAGGGGGGCCTGAAAACTTATTAGAGAATAATTTTTTTCGACTCAACTGGTGTCTGCTCAAAGATGGTCGGCTTTGTTTTTGCTTCGTAAGTTTTGTTCTGTTGCTAATTTAAAATTCAAAAGTCTTTCTTGGTAAGTTTGCCCAGAATTTTTGTTTGTTAAAAGCTGTTATTATGAAAATGTATGGGATTTTTTTCTTTCAAAATTCTTAATTCTTGAAAACAACTTTCAGTAAAGGGGTATCAGTTGAAATACTGCCCAATCCCCTGCGCGCCGCATAATCTTGTTTCTTTTTCTTTACTTCAATGTCTACAGCTTTCGAAAAAGTCTGTGTGGAGAATATTTGACCCACATTTTTGGATTTTTGTTTTTTTAATAACTACCCTCTCAAATCAAATATTTTGGGTTCAGTGAATAGAACGGGGTATGGGAAGTTTTGTTCATGTGATTTTTTGACCGTTTTTTGGACTTTTTTTGACTTTTCTCGAAAGCTATCCTCTCAATTCTGAGATTTTACGTGCAATGTAGAGCGCTGGTTATGGCAAGTTTTCTTGATTTAGCGGCCACTCCCAGTTTTGTTCACACAAAAAAGTTTTGTCACTCGGAAAAGTCAGTTTTTATTTATTTTTTATTCACTGTGAAATTTTGACTTCTCTCGAAAACTACCATTTTAATCTCGAAATTTAGGTTCAATCCAAATAACAGGTTGTGTGCATATCTTCTGCATAACTGGCTACGCCCATTTTTTTTTTTTACAAAAAGCTATGATTCTCGAAAAATCTATATTTTTGATTTGTTGACTGTATTTTGGGAAGTTTTTTGAGCGTTCTCGAAAACTATCCTTTCAATTCTTAGGTTAAGTGTTCAATTGAGAAACACGTTTTTGAGAACCTTCTCTGCTTAAGCGGCCATGGCCCAATGCAGAAAACTTTTTGAACTTTTGACCATTGTTTAGAAATTTTTTTGACTTTTCTCTAGCTATCCTATCAAATCTGAAATGGAGAGTTCAATCGAAAGAACCGGAAGCGAGAGTTTTGCCAATAGAAGCCGCGATTCCCTATTTTTTGTTTAATTTCCTTGGGAAAGTTCCGTTTTATTAAAATTTTTCACTCCTCTCACTTATTTTAGTAGAGAAACAACAGGTTTTGGGCAAAGTCCAATTTTTCAAACTTAGAATTTACCCATATCATCTTGCATTAACATAACAAGAAAAAATGCCGATCAGGTACCTTCAGCTTCAGTTGGGCCTCTAGATTTCTTTTATCGATACATACGAAAATTTTGGTTCACCTAGTTTTTTAAATATTTTTCTTTTTTTTTTTTGTTTTTTTTTGTGTTTGTGTTGTTTCGCAAGTGTGCGAAGCTCCGCTTCGCCTCTGTTCATGTTTGTTTTTGAAACATTTTTGGACGTTGATTGTACAACTTTAAAAATTGATTGAAAGAACAGTTTAACTTTTTCTTTATCAATTCAAGGAGTATTATGTGCATTTGGTGAAGTGGTAATACCCATGCTAGACGACGCAGCCCGGAAGTTCGATTCGAGTTAGGACCTGTTTTTAAGGGAACTGAAAGTTTTGGCTATTTTAAACTTTCGTGTCTGTTTTTTTTTGTCGGCTTCGTTCCCAAAGAAAGGCCCGACTTATTTTAGCATTTTGAAAGCTCTTTGTAAAAATTCTATTGGTGCAGGTAACTTAATTCCGGAGTTTCTTTTGTTATTTTTTGACAAAACTATTTGACAAAACAGGTTTTTTCAAGGTTAATGAACGTAGTGATAACTCTTATATAGGTCTTGGTGATTTTTTTTTTTCAGGAAACAGTCTTGAAATGCTCTAGTAACTACATACATATTAATGCATTTAGAAATTCATACATATTAATGCATTTATGAATGCTCTTAGATATATTTGCACTTTTTGAGTTCAATTCAAAATTATCCGCATAAAGTTACGTAAATAGCACTCACCAAATACGAAGGTGGAAATGGCGATAAAAAACGTGAACAATTTCTAGTTTCGAAAGTGGAATTTGATTTTTAGATTTCCAGCGGAATGAAAACTTTATCTATTGATCCAGTTTTCTCAAGTTGGGTTTATCTTATGAGAAAAGGGCAATCATAAATTGTTTTAGTATTTCAAAGAGCTTTAAGGGCATCTTTTTTTTCTTTGAAATTCAACAAAGTCAGTCTTTGATTTTTTCAACAAAGTCAGTATTTTTTTCTATTTACTTGCATTCATTACTCTTTTCCAACTGTCAGTTGGCTATGTTTTCATTTTTTGATTTGTCTTTTTATTTGAGTTTAATCATAGTCGTTCATTTTTGTATCGCATGCTTCGCCTCTGTGAAAATCGTTCAGCCTCTGTCGTTGCTTTGAATTTACTCTTTTATTGCCCGAGGGGGGGGGGGGGGTGGTTGTCATTTTACTCCAGCCGTTCCCGCTTAAAGGTGCGGATGACATTGGAGAACCTCCGACCGAGAATAAAACGGGATTGGACCCACGACCATCCTGTTAAGAGCGTGCGCTTTACTTATTCGGTTCCTGCCTCTCTTTAACGCCAGTGGTAACATGGGATGTGAATTTAATTTACTTTCTAGGGTTCTTCGACGTAATTGAAGATAAGAAGCTGAAGATGCGATGGCGCAAGAGTAACTGGCCACCTGAGCACTACAGCAACGTGGAAATTGCATTGAACGAGAGGAGTGAACAAAATGAGACCGATTTGAAGTTGGTCCAGACGCTGATTCCCTCCGACTTCTCGAACGAAAGCGAACTAACCAATGGATGGAAAAACATGTACTTCCAGCCGATGAAGCAAAGGCTGGCTCTTGGTTACCTACTCTAACGCTAGCTCCATAAATTGATGCTATCGACTTGCAGGATCATTATGAAATTGGATCGATGAAGTTAAAACCAAAACGGACTCAGAAACTATCTGTTTCAATAGTGTCCGATTTGATCGATCAACTAACTGATCATTAAATTAATGTTACACGACATGACTTAAATGTAATTTTGCTTGGACAATTCATTTTTCACAATTCATCCTTTTCAATCAAAATGTCCATATTGAAGGCATCGTGACTAGCTATACTCTTATGAAGGCAGTTCATAATTACACTTGCGATTAGCAAGCGTTATCAAACTGGAATATAGACTTTTTTCTAGTTAACCAGTTTAACAAAATCAGTTGCATCATTTCAATTTCAGCTGGCATTATCAATTTCATGAAAATTCAAATGCAGCTTACATGCTCAATTTCATGAAAATTCAAATTTAACTACTGGGTGGGTTCTAGTTACTACAGGGGAGTTTCAGGGGGACTCGAAACTTTAAATAAAATTTTCTTACAAAACGGTTTTTTTTCGGCTCAACTAGTGTCTGCTCAAATATTGTCGGCCTTTTTTACGCTTCGTAAGTTTTGTTCAGTTGCAATTTTAAATGTCTTATTTGGTATGTGTGCTAGGAATTCCTGTTTGATAGAAATAGGTTTTATGAAAATGTATGAGGTTGGGTTTTTTATTTCACTTTTTTGAGACGCTTTGTGTAAAATTTCTCAGAAACTCTACTGATTTTCAAAAAAGGGGTATCCATAGTAGGATAGCCTGCACCCTTGTGTGACTGCATACCACCCTGGTCTTTTTTGCTTTAACCTTTCATCTACAGCATTCGAAAAAGTCAGAGGGGAATAATTGACCGATATTTTTGATTTTTTTTTCCTTTTCTCAAAAACTAACCTACCAAATCTGAGATTTTTGCTTAAATGATATTTGTGTAAATGAATTTCCCCTGCGGGGGGGGGGGGGGGGCTTATAATTGACCGATAGTTTTGATTTTTTCCTTTTCTCAAAAACCAAGCAAATCTGAGATTTTTGCTCAAATGAATTGTGAGGATTTAAAAAGCTACCCTCCATAAGCGGCTACGGCCAAATTTTTTTCACAAATAAGATAATAAATGTTTTTGACTTTCCAAAAAACTAACCTCCCAAACCCGAGGTTGTGGGTCCAATGAAAACAAAGCATAAAAGGAAGCTCCCCTAAATTAGTGTCCACTCACAAAATTTTTGTGAGTGGACACAAAGTTATTGTGCTCAGAAAAGTCAGTTTATAAATTTTTAAGCGTTTTTGTTTCATGTTTTGTGAGTTTTACCGAAAAATGCTTTCTTATACTTGGGATTTTGTGCTCAATTACAGAACGAGTTGTGGGAAGCTCCTTTGTATAACCGACTACGCCCAACCTTTTTTGACACAAAAAATTGTGGCCCTCGGAAAAGTCAAAACTTTCCACCGTTTCTTTTGAAACTTTTTTCGAGAGCTGACCTGCCAAATCTGGGTTTATGGGTTCGATCAAAATTGAAGGTTGGGTAAGTTTCTTTCGCACAAGTGACTGCGACCTTTTTTGGACTTTTCTAGATAACTATCCTGGCATTTTGATATCATAGGTTTAATCGACAAACCAGGTTGTTGCAAGCTTACTTTAATAACTCTTTTCGCCCAAATTCTTTTAGAAGAAGTTATTGCCTTTAAAAAGTAGAAAGTTTTGAAACTTTGACCGTTTTATGGGAGTGTTTTTTTTCCTACTTCACTCGGAAATTACCATGCCGATTCTCAGGTTAATTAATTAATCGAGAAGCACAATTTTGGGAATCTTGTCTGCTTTAAGGGCCACGAACTGATTTTAGCAGTAAAAAAAAATTACGGGTTTTGGAATATCAAGTTTTTGAGCTGTGAACATTTTTTTTGAATCTTTTGATTTTTCTCAAAAACTACCCTATCAAATCTGAAATGAAAAGTTCAATCGAAAGAAGTGGCTGCGTGGTTTTTTCCAATAAAGCGGCTACTCTTCAAAAAAAATTTCGTTATTTTATTCGGTCGATAAAGCTTTTTTGTTTGTTATTCAAAAGACATATTTAAAGCATTTCTGCATTTCAAATATCCTTTTTTTATGTATTTTTGTTGGTTTGAAATCTATCAACTCCGGTTCTGCGTAATTTCTGTTTTTTTTTTGTTTAGTAGGCTTCAAAGAATTCCGGTGTACATCTAATCGGCGTAGTGGCATTATATTGCGTCGTTGATTGAGCCAAACAAGTTTCTAATGAGTGAGTCTTTTGGTGGTCTGTTTTTTCTTCAAACTTCCTGCCTTTGTTATTGATTCTTAAATTTTGTTTCCTAAAGGGTGGGAAGCCCTGCTTTGCTGCTGTGTATAAATTTGAACCAACAGCCATAATCGGCCAACATAATCATTTTGAGCATGTCTGGAGTTTGCGCTCACGTTTTATTCGAAATTTGTTCTTAATATGCCTATACGTAAACTCCAAAATTTTAAAGCTCTTTTTAAAAAGATTTTTTTTTTTCAAAAATTTGGAGTTGACGTAGAGGCATATTAAGAACATATTTCGGATAAAACGTGAGCTTAAACTGCAGACATCTGTATGATTACAATGTTCCTTTAGACTAAAGAACACAGTTTTTTTTTCAAGAAAAAGTCTAAAAACTTGTTCATGCTCGATTTTGATTTTTCCCGGTTTGACTTATGATTTAAAGTTCAGTGCATTTCCATTGTTAAAAGGAAGGCAAACTCCACTATCGAACAACCAAAGTGCGCAGGTCACGAAAAACGTCGCCGACTTTCAATTTCGAAAATAGATGTTAAATCTTTAGGTTTCTTTTTGGATCTTCAAGAATTGTTTGTTTTTTCGACAAGAAAATTCTATTGTTTGCCGCGCTGCTTTTCCTAAAACTGACAGTATAGAGAACTAAAATAAAATTTTTGGGTTGATCGTCCGACGAAAGATATTGTTAAATAGTACCAAAGTTAAAGCTCTTCGATTGACCAGGAAGTCAGCCAAAAACGAGTGTCGTAAAACAGTATAATGAGGACCGATGGATTTTGCCTCCCTTTTAAATATTTCCCCGTTTAAATTTTATTGAAGGTGAAACCTAACACTAAAATTATCTACTTTCAAAATCAGAGATAATAATAATAATAATAATAATTGTAGTTCCTGCAAATCGCAGAGGAGCTATCAGTAGGCCTTAATAGTCCTGTCGAGTATAGTCCATTTGTATTATCTCCCCACATTCCAGACTGTGTATTTTGTTGAGCGAAGCTCTTTTTTGCGACTCAAGGCCGTTTTTGTGCGTCTAGAATTTTCACGTGGTACCACTATTGCAGCCAAACTTGGTCAGGTTGTGGTAGACCTGAAGCTAGAGGTCAAGTGAGAGCTCGTCCTCACACACTATCATTGCCATGGCATGGGATCGATTACACGATCTGACGATTCTTAAGTGAACGCCTTACCACTATGCTAAGTGCCCCCACCGTTTTGGTTTAAATGGATATACCAAAATGGATTGATATTCACCTGTGAAGAACCTCAGAAAATTAGAGCCTTGGTTTTTTTAAAAACTTTTGTTGCAAATTTTCATTTTTTATTCCTTCTAAAAAGTTCCTTTTAGCAGCATGTTTGTTTGCCAATTGAAACGCAAATTTTGCTTTCTGTGTCAAAAATGCGATGGGGCAAAAATTGAAGCTTGACTTTGTTTCAAAAATAGTTTTTTATAGATTTTCTAGCGGAAAAAAAATTGTCTCTCCACATCAAGACATGTTTGCGAAAAATTTTGCTAAAAAAATTCTTGATATTCAAAAGTATTTTTATGATTTTAAGCAAAATGAAATTCTACAGTTGCCAGGGATAAGTTCTGCTAAAGCTAAATGTTTCCATTGTTGATACTCAAAGTGAATAAAGAACGTTCTGAGCTACATCAAAATGGCAAAATACAATTTTTGGGATAAATTGTTCTTCCACGACTTACTTGAGCCTTATTTCTGCGATGAGAGACTAAGAAGTTCGACTTTTCAATTTTTTTGACATGGGTGAATTTATTATAACAAGAGTTTCAGCTAACTGGCTGTGGGCTTTATATATGTCGGCTTATTTACCATTTTTTCCTTAAAATGTCCGGAAGTTTTTTTGATATCGATAAGACTGTCACCAAATTTTGAATGACCATCGTCAACATTACTGGGTTCTCTTCGAAAAACTTGAATAAATTTTCAAAAATGTTTTTTATTTTTTGTTTGTTTTTACACTTCTTGGCCCACCATGATCCGTGCTCGTTGCTTGAGGGTGAGGCAACATTACCCAGCCCCGAAAATTGCATGTAGTTCTTAAGCAGGGGCACAACAGCGGTTCGCCGTGATGAGCTGTACAGCTCGTATGTTGGTCCTATCCCTCGTGGATAAATGATCTTAATTCTTGCGTCAATTGTAACATTGTTCAAAATTCTGTTCGCTAATTTTTTGGTGCTTTCATCCTATAATTGTTGAATCGCAAGAGGTGCGAAGCTCAGCTTCGATTCAGTGTTAAAATTTTTGTCGAGTCCTCTTTCTGATGTCAATTAAGTCGGTAGTTTCCGATAATTGCTGATATTTTTTTAGTATAGTGAGCGGTGCAGATAATTGAAGCAAGCATAGAGTTTATTAGATCAAAGTAAACAACATCATATCGAACAATTTAATTTATGTTGGTAGATTTGAAGCGGGCGTAGAATCCTGGAATTTCATTAGATCAAAGTATCCATATCCAACAAAAGAAATGTTGGAGCGATAATTAAAAACGAGTAGTTCGATTGAGGTTTTCTGGGGTACACCCACAATGCTACTATTTTAATTCTAAATTTTCATTTTCTGAAAGTATTTTGGTTTTCCAACCCCTTTTTTAGGGTTAAACTTTGGACCCGGGTGTTTATCTCACTTTGGAATGACGTCGTACAAACAGGATTGTACAAGCAGGAGCGATCGTTTTTTAGGGTTGCCCTTGTGTTCTAAGGGTTTCTCGTATAACCCTACCAACAAAGACGATAGTTCTACTTAAAGAATGGAAACGAAATTTGTTCTAGGGATTTTGAACGCATAAATTCGTAGCAGCAGTTGCAAGCTTAGCTCTAATCAATTTTGACATATACCTGGCGCATACTTCATTGAGGCACTTTTTTCAGTATTAAGGCACCCTTTTCAGTATTAAGAAAGCGAGGAGTACTACACCAAGGGTTTCATTTGCCCCCATTTTTTCCTATGTTAAGTTAAACATACACATAACTTATGATTTAGGTTAAGCCTACAAAATCTATGCGCTAATAATTCCGCCAAATCCCATTCGGACAGCCAGACAGAAAAAAAACTTCAGATGTGTCGGGGGAAGTATCTTGATTTTTTAAGCCCTCTAAATTGTTTCTCTAAAATGAAAAAAAAATTCAACATTTACTCGAAAAAATCTGGATAAAGATTGAATTTAGTCTATTGTATCTTGAGCGCAAACCTTTCAGTTGTCGACCAGAAAGAAAAACATATTGAATTATGTATACTATGTGAAAAATTGACTCCATAAAAACAAACTTTTTTTGCGGAAGGCTCTAAAAAAACAACTGCTTCTACGAATAATGGTAGATAAGGCGGACCAAAGAAAAATTCTAGCCCAATATCAATTCAGCTAGGATATCATTGAAAAGTAAAAAATTGTATTCTTAAGTTTCACGGAGCAAACATTTCTGAAACCAAAATCATTGATAAGCATAACGCAACAAAAAGGAATTGATTTTACGTTTGACAAATTACCGATACTCACCTGCTTAAGATTAAATACTTAGTTGAGACAGTACTTGGTTGCTGAAAACATTTTTATTTTATGCTCACTTGGCCTTACAAATAAATGTCAATCCATCTTGGACCTTAGTGGTTTACTTTGGTCAATCCATCTAGGACCTTAGGGACTAGTTTAAGGTTTCGCATCTTTCAACAGCCATTTGAACAGGAATGCTAACAATTGACGACCCTTTCTATGGCGTGGTTGGACGAAGATGTAGACTAGATTTGAAGAGCGACTGGACATCCCATTCTAAATTTGGCGAAGAAAATGGACGTTTTGTATACAGGAATCATCCGAAAAAATTTGCACCTGTGCTTCACCCGCTTAGCCGAAACTCGCTTAACCGAAAATACAGGTTTGATAGTAATCACTTAGATGGCTCAAAAGAGTAAAAAGTTAGACGTATCCGTATCAAAAAATTATAATAAATGAAATGCTCACTAATGTGCGGGTGTCGTTACTTCAAAACTACATGCTCTGAAAGTTTTTAGAGTTTGAGTGAACTATTTTTGTGGAGTTTATCTGTTTGTACTTGTTAACTTTTATTGATTGCCGACTTGAGTTTGCGTAAAGTAACTGGAACCATTTTTGAACTAACTGGTTGCTACTTGGCTCATTTGGGTGCGTCTGGCCAAAAAGACAAATCACTGTTGTTAAAAGCTGTAACGATAGGCGAACAAGTTCAAGAAATCGGAAGAAAATATGACCCTCAAAGAACTATTGCTGCTAGAGGCTGTCATCAGCGGCCTTTGGGTGAAAAAAGAAATATTTGAGTCCCACAAAAAAGTAAAACGAAAAGTATTTGAGTTTCTCAAAAAATGAAAGAATTTTTAAAATTCGAATTGCTATCTGTTTTTTTTCTCAAAAAATGTTTTTTCTTTCAAATACGGGCCTGTATTGAAGACCAGAGCTTGCGGGTGATCCTGGGCAGAGTCGAAAACCTTTACTGATTTTAATGTTTTACCGTAATATAAATGCAAAATCTATTTTGAGTAGAGTTGGAACCGGGTCCGGGCGTTTTACGGGTGAGGCTCGGGCTTCATTTTTAGGATCAGCAATCGGGCCGGGCTGGGCTCGGGCCCGACTTTCAAAAGATTTTTTACCTTTCACACTTCACTTCACACCTTTTGAAACTTCACTTCAAACCTGGTAAGGATTCCGTTCACACCTTCTGAAACTGCACTTCACACCTGTTGAGGCTGCCGTTCACACGATAAGCGCTTCTTTTACACCTTTTAACGGTACTAGTTGACTTTTTTGGCCACTCATTGATTATACGAGAGGAAACCACAGAGAAAGATGGTACAAAAAGTCTTCATTGTGAGTTTTTTCATATCTCTGGAGCCATAATAATTTCGTCTATGTTCTGGCTTCATCTCGACATTTGTCCCAATCATCACTTTAAAACGTTTTTTCGCGTTCTTCCACACGCACTCAACCTCATTGGTATGCACTTCTTTAACAGGATCGACAAAATTCGCGTGTATTGACTTCGAAAACAACCACGAATGTGTTTGTATGTTTTGACTTATTCATCTATTTGGACAATTACCCCAGGGCCATCTAAAGAAACAGGATGGCTGACAAGATAATTTGAGCAAATGTCCCTCATATAACTGTTCCATTGAATAGCTCTGACTTGGCAATAGCCAGCAACTCTTTAGCAGTGCCCACAGACACCTCCTGTGCCCATAGATAGGCAAATAAAATAAAGTCCTTACTTTGTGATGCTCCAGATAGCTACCCTTGACTGTGAATTCCTTTTCGCCTTGTGAGTCGGGCAACCATTCACATCCGTCCTTCATCCACAAACTCGGCAAGAAGGTGCGCAAGATCGCAGTACTCGTTTTTCGCGAAGGATATCCAATGCATTTTTGGAAATTAGTAAAGAGCTGCAAAATATCGGCCAACCGCATTTTGCGAGAGAACAGATCTAGATAGTGTAGAAAACAGGCCTAATTCAGTACTAACTCAGGTCTACCTAGTGTAGTGGGTACGAATGCGACTATCAACAAAATGGCGTGGGTTCATATGACGTTCTATGCTGGATTTTTTTCAAGCAATAGGCGGGGCCTATATAAACTAGTTTTGTCACAGGACCAAACAGGTAAACTAGTCCTCAGTATTCTCATAGTCATAAATAAATATCACTGAGAGTTAGTTTCACCAATATGCACTATTCTTAGAGGGTAACAAGTTCCCTAGCTACCCTCCTTACGAATCCGAGCTTTTTAAAATCACCGGGTATGAACCCTTCCAAAGATTACATCATAGGATCCACAGTGCTAAAAGTATTGTGGCGGTTACCATTCATGGCAACTTCGGGAAAGCCCATTTTCCACAAATAGCTTTCTCAACATCAGGGGATCTGTAGAACACAGTCCCCTGTTTCTGGTCTCCACTAGCACAGAAAGTTGTACCAAAAGTCGACTCTTTCCGAGGACACGCGAGACAACTAATGGTACTTGGTCTGGTGGCTTTCAAGGCCGGATCCAGCCGGGGCATGCGCAACACAAAAATTTCGAGCGACCCCCAAGGCTTGCGTTTGCCGAAGCAAGGCTCCCCAAGGTTCGCACTTACGTCTTTGAGCACTGGGCAATGCGGCGTGTGACGTTTGCAGAAATGGCCTCGTTTGATGAACCGTCGGTGACATATTGGAAGCACGTGATCCAATACATCGCGCAGGTAATAGGAAGTACAAATACCTGCCCGACAGCCCAAAAGCTCAGACCAAATCCCCAGGATACACCGGTGTAGATCCGATTACTGCGGACCCTACCGCAAAGGACTACACCACTCGAGGAGGTGTCACACTAACGTATCCCATACTTTTTGTTTGGAAATTATTTTTCACTAAAAACGGGCCTGTGCCGGGCCTGGACTTGAAATTTTTGTTCTCCAACTGAATTCAATTAGTTTTTTTTTATAAAAGGGGAACATTTTTTAGAGCTGGTTCACCTCCAGGAAGAAAAAACTTGAAGTCTGTCTTTTTTTTTATTTATGAACTTTGTCATAACAAAGAACGTGACAGCGGGCTATGCTACTATCAAATGAAACTTCAGTAGATGTTTTTAGAGCTGTCGATTTTGAATAAATGATGTCTTGTCTGCTTGATTTTTGATATCTGGTTACATTCATTTCAATAGATTGTCATCATGATAATTTTCAGAAATCTTTTCCTTATGCTACTATGAACGCTCGTCCAGGCCCTTCTGCCAAAGAAAATTCAGCCAATTTAAAATTCAGACAATTCAGCCAAAAATTGGAAGACAATTCAGCCAGAGAGAATTCAGTCAATAATAGTGACCACCGGCGACCGTAAACCGAGAAATAACTCAAAATCCGACCTTTTTTTCGAATCTAGCGTTTTGAAAAATAGCTTGAATTATCTCAGGCCGCCGAATTTTCTGAATTTCAAATCGTCTTCGGCCAAATTGTCTGTGCGTCTAATGAAAGATCTTGGATCTATCGTTGTACTTAACTGTGCAATAAGAAATGGCGCTGCAAGCGGGTCAAGTATTTTGTTGAGTTGTTCTCCTTGTGATTTTGTTTTTTTCCTTGGTATTTACTGAGAAAATGTCAAAAAATTATCACCCTTCGTAATAAAATTAAAAAGTTATTTACATTCATTTTACTTTTTGTAAAAAAAAAATGAAAGGTTATTCATGTTTTTTTTTCAATTTTATGGCTCTTAGATTGTCCAGCCTTTTTAATCGATTTTTTTTTATTTTTGGTTGTGCGAACGGCTGTGTGTATCATATTTTTCAAGGTTTATGCAATTTAGTTTGTTTTTTCGATTAACTTTTTTTTGTCAATAACTGACTTCTTTACACCAGCAAAGCTTTGTGTTATAGTTTGACCTCTCTTTTTTCAACCTAAGTCGCAAACATTGTTGCAAAAAAGTGTTCATTTTGCAAGTGATCGCTTTGATCAATAACCAGTTATTAAGTGCAGTCAATGCTGAAGATACTAACACAGACTATTATATTATACTATTATATAACACAGACTATTATAATAGCACTTTAAATTAAAGGTATTATGAATCTGTAGCGTAGATTTAGGGAGCAGACCCACAACAAAATAAAAGGGTTTGAACCTGGGCAGAGTCGGATGTTTTTAATCAACTTTTTCGTACACTAGCTAAAATGCGTCCGCTCTTTAAATTGAGGCATTTTAGTTGGTAAAACTCTTTTTTTTTCTAACTGACTGGGGCTGCTAATGTGTTATAATTGGCGTGCATCACTTAACTAATAAGTAGACTCGTAACTGGCGTGCGTCAATTAAAAAATTTCGGTGACTAAAAGTTTTACACATTCAATTTTCCCCAGTAGCGTTATCGGTCATATTTTTGCTTGTGTATGCGAAGTGCAACTTCGCCTCTGTGTAAAAGTTTGGTTTTCACAGTTTCATTGCCTTCTAGCTTCTATTGTTTGGAGTGGTAGCCTTTTTTTCTTGTCTGGCCTTAAGCAAGCCCAAAAATTTTGTCCAGTATCTGTTTATCGTTTTTTGTATCTTCAGTTTGTTGCATTTTTTCGGAGCACTTTCTTTGAATCAGTCAAAAATTGTTTCCAGATTTTTAATTGTTTTAATTCGTTTTAGGAAAGTTTCTTTTTTTCACTTTGAGAACAAATTCTATTTTTTTTTCAAATGAATACTATGTCAGCGTTGAACTGTCTCCGCTCCTGTAAATTGAATTTATGTTTTATTTTGGCAGCGATAACTGATTGCGTGATTTGAGAAACAAATCTTATGTTAGTATTTTTTGTATTTTTTTCACAAATTTTTGCCGTAGTGTTATTTTTTGCCTTCTTTGCATTCGCTGCAGTGCAGCCCAGTTAAAACCTCAGTTGAATTCAATTTGAATTTCGATGCAAAAAAAATTTATACTTTTTTATAGATCAGTTAAATTACAAACGCTACTTATGGGTTGCTATAATGCTTATTCAACCATTCTAATGGCATCCCTCCAGCTCACCTAAGATGCAATAAACGGCACTTCAAAAAGTTTTCTGATAGCAAAAAATAGAGAGAAAATATCTTTTCACTATCTCAAACATAAAGTTTAAAAATTTGCTTGAAAAAACTCAACTTCAGTCATAGAGAAACTTTCGTTGAAAATCAGATTTTCTGATGTGATAGGTTTTTCCTAATGATTTAAAGGTGATTGTTTTCTTAATTGTCTTAGAGTTAAAGATTATATCTAGAGAAACAAATTCTCCTACGATACATCACTCCATTAAAATTTCTTACTTTGCTATAGTGATTTTCACTTTGGTCACTAAAGTTGAATCTTTTGTATAGCATGACTCTGAGTGAGGTACTTGAAACTCGTAACAAATTTTAATTTTCACCAGCCGACGTAATATCTTTTTGAACCCATTATTTTTACCAAGTTATTCAACTTCAAGAAAGGATGTATCGTTAACTTATTTCCTGTTTTTTTTTTCAATCACACGGCTTATATCATCATAGAAAAGTGCAGCAATAGATATACTTTTTAAAGCGCTCAATTTCATCGTGTCTTTTTCAAAAATGACAACCTCACAGTTTTTAAGAGAAATAGAAAAATCATTATTAAACAACGGAAAAATAAGAGGTCCAAGTATGCTCGGTTGTTTTCCGTTGCTTCAATAACTGATTATTTCCGAAAGACAACCGCTTCAAGTTTAATTAAATTTTCCCCGATAACCCGTTTTTTTCCATTTTATCAGTGGGTATTATATGGCGTACTGTATCGAAGTACTTTTTTGAAATCAACAAACAACCGGTCTAAAGTTTTTTCGTCAATAGTTTCCCGCATAAAAGTAGTTATTTGAAGGATACATGACCTTGTTTTGCTGTTTTGCCGATATTCCATATTGTTCAAATAAACATATCACTCTATTGAAAATCAACTTTTTGTCGTTTTTGGTCGATAGTTATTTGCGGTTTTTGGAGCCATGTTTATGCAAAGGAACAATTTTATTATTTTTTAATTTTCAGGAAAAACACCTTGTTAATGCACAAGTTAGAACAATGCACTTATTAGAACAATGTACCAAGAGTGGACTGATTCAATAGGGCATATTGGTCGCTGATATAGCGCTTCAGAGTGTTACCATTATTATTAGTGGTCAAATCAAAGCCAACTAAAAGCGTCTTTCTGCTGTTTCGATGCTTGGGTTGCATTCAAGTCAAAATTGAAATTCCCGATAAAAGATAGTTCTCCTTCAGTAATTTAAATTGCTCAAGGAAACATCAACAACTACAAAAAACCGATTCCAACGATGTTGGACGGTAAATTAAGCATAATTTAAAGAGGGCAGTGTTGTTTTGTTTGGTTGTTAACTCAAAATACTCTTGGGGATTATCAAATGTCAAATTCTTTTCTTCGTTTCTGTCTGTACAAAAATGCTACACCCTCTTCTTTTTTGTTTTACCATTTATAGTTATTAATTACAACAATCCACCAAACATGAGGTATTGTTGAGTCATTTTCGGAAATCCACGTTTCACATAAAACTAATAACCTTCGAGTATAATAATTGAAGCAACAAGTGTTTATAAGTGGTTCTAACGGCTCCGCAATGATTGCACATTCACGAAAAAGTTTTAATTCACTATTCTGGAGTTCATTCTCAGAGCCGCCGCATTCACAACTCAACACATATCTGAAAGTTTGCACAACCCAAATTTTTAAAGATCCATTATCAAGACGTCAGAAAAATTCTTGTTGTTTATATATTCTGCATCCTGCGAATTACACAACACAATATTTCAAGGATTCATTTTCAAGAAGTCAGGAGCATTCTTGTTGTTTATATATTCTGGATTAGGCAATTCGTTCCGTAGGGCTCGAACATGGTTCAACAGCCCAATAGGATCTGACGTATTTTGCGCTAATTCCGCCAGTAATTTATAAGTTTTTATATCAGGATATATTTACCGAGCTCTTTTCAATGTTTCATCACGATGTTTTCGACCAAGAATAGACTAATTTGTTTTAGGCATATTCAAGTTTGGTCTGGCTACAGAGTTTGTTCCTGGATAGTGCCTGATTTCACGAGCTTAAAGTTTTGCATCCTAACTTTTTGTAAATATTTCTTCAGCATCCTTAGTACCGACTAAATTATGCCTTCAAAACCGCCATTTTGATTCAAAGTTAGTGCTTGCGGAACACCATCATAAATAACTGTATAAATACCCAGTGCCCTGGACTAATCAAAAAGATTCGAATCTTTCTTAGTCAGACGTTTCATACGAGCAATTGTTTTGTAATGGGGAACCAGTATTTTCCCCCGTAAACATTTTTTCTTACACTCTTCTCTCTATTCACTTCTTTTTTTTCTCCAGGCTCACTTTTTTATTGACTTCTTCAAGATTTTTTCCCTTTTCCAGATTTCTTTTAGTTTCCAGGTCCTTTTCCTAAAGTCTGGTGTCTAGCCTCGGCCCGACCTTGTTTTTTTTTCAGCATGCATGCAATTGCATTCTTTTTCGGTAAGTTTTGAGCTGCCGGAATTTTGTATGTCTGCTTCAGTTTTATCGGTTAGTTCCTATTTCACGGATTGTGTTTGGGCTGTATGCAGCTTTTTTGCTGTTGCACTTGCGATTGTGTTCATTGTAGTTAAAGGACGGTACTAGAAAGACTTATTTTTTTTGTAGAAAATCAGTTTTGTTTCTCGGTTCAACTGGCTCAAAGGTTTTCGTATTCTCGCACTAATATGTTTGGTATCAACCAACTTTCATTGTAATTTCTCAGCGAAGGACTTGAAGGATTCAAACCAAAAATTATAAACTCAGGTTTTTTCGGCTCAAATGGTGTCTGCTTTGTTTCCTCTTTATTTTTTTGTTCCGTTGTTATTTTATTAATAAATTGTCTGACATGTTTGCTTAGAATGAGGTAATTTAGAAGCTAATTTGACATAAACATTTTCAATTTTTCAGGTGCTAAGTCACATTTTTGCTCTAATTATTTTCCATGAAAACTTGTTAAAGCTTCTTATCAGGCATCTGCTTTTCCCGAAAAATTTTTTCCAACAATTTTTGATTAATTTCAATATCTGTCAATAGAGCATATTGGTCATTGATATTGTACTTCAGAGTAACGTTAGGGTTTGAACTAATACGGGGTCAGCACGTTTAAGTGTTGACTGTAACTATTGTTGCTTCACTGTTTTTTTTAACAATCAAAGCAAAATAAGCTGGTAAAAGAATCGTCTTCCTTTCGTTTTGTTTCTCTAGTTGCATTCCAGTCAAATTGAAATCTCCCCTAATGTATAGTTCTTCTTCAATGTCTCAAATTGCTCAATGAAAAATCCAAATTTACAAAAAAAAAGTAAACTGATTTCAACGATGGTGGACGATAAATTAAGTGGAACCAGTTCTTAACTAGTCTTTATGATTGGAGATAAATAGAATTATATTATTGATAAAACTATCACTATAAAATTTTAATAACTAACCAATCATATTCCATCTCCAACATTGACACTTATTTGTAACTGCTGAAACTACTTGCAGTTTCAGTACCAGAACAATTTGAATAAATCTTAGACTACAGTTGTTCTCCTTTTGGACAAGCTCCAAGACTAACTCGCAAATATCAGTATACACTAGATCTCTTGAGACTAGGAGATATAAGAGTAAGATTAAGATTGGTATTAGACTAAGAAGTTGCACGAATCTATCCGGCCGAAAATAATATAGCGTGACGAACAGACGGTGTACCTTATCTGAAAATACTCTATGAGAAAGCTACGATTGCAATGATTGCACATTTATCATCATTCATGAAAAAACAAATTTTAATACACTTTTCTGGAGTTCATTCTGAGTGCCGCCACCATCTGAAACGTTACACAACACAATTTTTCAATGATCCATATGCAAGACGTCAATTGGATTCCTGTTGCTTATATATTCTGCATCAAGCCAATTTTTTGCCTGGTTTGAACAAAGTTGAACAGCCTAATATGATCTGACGTATTTTGCGATAATTCTGCCAGTTATTTATCATTTTTCTCTTATAATATCAGGTGATATTTGCCGAGCTCCTTCAATGATTCATCAGGATGCTTTCGACCAAGAATAGAATGATTCGTCTCAGGCATTTTCAATTTCAGTCTGGCTACAGAGTTTGTTCCTGGATTAGTTCCTGATTTGTTGAGCTTAAGGTTTTGCCCCGTAAATATTTCGTCGGTATCTTTTGTATCGACTAAACTATGTCTTCTATAACCGGGCTTTTGATTTGCAATTACCACTTGCAGAACACCATTATAAGTATTTGCGTATGTACCCAGTCCTCTGGACTAATTATTAAGATTCGCATCTTTCTTAGTGAGACGTTTCATAATACTCTTAGTCAGATATTTCATAATACCTCCTACTCACGCCAAGAAGAGGAAGGCAGGCCTTCAAATTGTACTCAGTGATGTCTTGTCCCATAATTTTGTTGAATAAATTCAAGACATCCCTAACAATATTGCGTTTTTGAACTTTGAAATACGTCATTTTTGATCTATTTTTTGCTTTGGCTGAAAGTGCAAAGCAACAGAGTAACAACGGACCATTCTTCGAGTCATTATTAACTTTGAGTCAAATTGATAATGGTGCCTGTAAGTTTAAAAAAGATTTTTTTTGCTGATGAGTAGAAAACTCATTTTACAGTCGTTTACTTAAGATTTTTTAAAAAAAATTTTGCCTTCCACTTTTTCTGCATTGCAAGTAATGTGAAACTTTGCTTCTTTTCTGGGTCAAAAAATGCAGTCAATCTTTTTCAAAATAATTCTCTTACCCAAAGATTGCAAAATTCAAGCTAATTTTGCCATGGGCCGGCAAACGAATAATTCATCTTATATCATGAATTAAATATTAGCTCAATTGTTGATAATTTTGAACAAATGTGAGTTTTTATTTGGCGGTTTGATACTTTTGGGCAACTGTTTTTATGACTTAGTTGTCTCGTCTTTTCAGCAACAGCGTGTCTGCATCATCTCTGCTGGAACTCGCCGCATCTCTTCGCCAAGTGTTCATCATCGTGTGTCACTCGCCAGCCATCAACGAGAGTCTAAGAGCCAAGAGTTACCTGCCAATCATCTACCCTGCCAAGTTGCACCTGCCGCCGATTGGGCTGGGAGTGCATGGGCTAACCACAGTACCTGGTTATAACAGTGGCTCTTGGTGGCATCATGGAAACCATTTTTCTTACCTGGTTTGTTTTTTAATCACCATAAACTCCTCCAACCCTTTGCTACCTAATAAACAATATCAAGCCCTAGAACTTGTTAATCAAATTGGTAAGCATTCAAATTGATGACAAAAAAAGCGCATTTCTACTGCAAAGGATTGTTATGATGATCCGTTTTGCGTGGAGGATTGGTCCATAAATTCCATCATTTTGGGCATATGCAGCCTTGTTCGCAATTTTTCCCACACTACAAATGCGTTGAAAGTCTAGCAGGGTATGGACCCTTAACTGCTGACAGGCTGTCTTCAATCACAGATCAACCTAGTATCACCTTATGTTACTTCACAGTATGTCGAAAAACCGTCACAGACGAACGTTTTCAAAAAATGTAATTGTGTATTTTAGTGAACTTGGCTTGCGCAAAATTAAGAAGTTTTTTCTCGTGTTTTAAGAGTTCCGGAAAAAACCAATTGTATCAACTACAGAGATTTTTTGCCACCATTTGTCCCAATAATTATATATTTTGCTTGTCTCTGTTTTTTCTAGAGCCTGTGTGATAACCCAGCTTTGGTGAAGAAAGCCAGCAAATTCTGCTACGGCTGTCATGAAAGCGCCAAACCTCAGTAAGTGACCACCAGTAAAAATACATATACCTTTGCGTCACCAAACAGTCTTTATTCTTTTATGATCAAATAAATGTAGCTTTTTTGAAAAAGGTGTTATCGAGTTTTTTGGAGTACGCGAGTACATCTAATCTACATTCAAAGTAATTTCTTGACTATATGTTAAAAGTTCATTCGAGTATGCAAGATTTATGTAATCGCGACGCTCTGTGGTTTTCAAATTTTATCTCCAATTGCTTTTATATTAGATGACAATGATACGTATCTTCTTAAAACATACTAGTCATCAAAAAACATAATTTTTGACAGAACATCTTTAGCCGCTAATCAAATGAGTCCGCACTTTGTAAAAAGCACTCAATCGTGAACTTAAAACTATGTACCCGATTTGTGTCAAATTGATGAATTTCATTGCGTTATCGAAAATATCTTCTTGAATATTTTATTTGCTATGGTGGTTTTTGATTTACCCGCTACAGTTACGATTGATCCTTTGGATGGAGATCTTCCCGTTCCCCAAAAAGTGCTCAGGTAGATATGTAAACCTACATGAATTTTGAGTAGTGCTACACAATGTCTTGCAGCAAAACATAAACGGTACAAAATTAGAGTTGAAACCGTTTTCCTCGAAGCCGTTGAACACAGAGTAACATGAAAAAAAAAAAACGTTCAGCTATCATTGATATATTGATTTGCCGGGCATGAAAATTCTGCGCAACATTTTTATTTAAACTCTAGCATGCACTGGGGCATGCGACCTTTCGGTTGTTTCCAGTTCAAATTTCTCCTCTTTAATTGAAGTTAAAATTTATGGGTTGTTTTTGATTGTTAAAAGTTGACCCATGTAAAAAACGAAAGGTTCGTCCGCACAAAACAATCCATGTAAGTATTCTTTTCTACCATTCTGCCTTTTACGCTTATTTTTTTCAAATTTTAGTAGCTAATGAGGTCTAACCGGAATGTTAATAGTTTAAGCTTAAATAAACTACGCTATGCCTTGGTTACAAGAGTTCAACTTGCGCACTTAGCCGCAAATTGTAGCGCACTCGTCAATTTTAAACCGGCAACCAGAGACTGCTAACACATGTGTCACGATGCCACATAGCAACTATTATAAATAATTCATGTTCCGCCTTTCAAAAAACGGACGGAATATTTGTGCTTATAGGGTTTTTCCATTCGAAAAATTTCGACTTCGACTTTTTGACTAGCCTTTTTTGACAGGAAATTTTTTAATTGTGTGAAAACTAATGATGTTAATGAAGTTATTTTACCTGATGACAATGATGACATCATTTTTTGTAAAAAAAATTTAGGTTTGAAAGTTGCCACTTTGGCCAATTCGGATAAAACGCCCGATTTATTTTGAGTTGATAATGACAAAACTTAATCCGCCACAGAGACTGTTTCAAACTAAAACAAAAATTTTCATAAGCCAAGGCAAAGCCCTGAAAGCTTCGACTGCCCCTTAATTGATATCGAATAGTTGTTGCTAAAGATAATGTGGATCTACTTAACAATTACCCCCTCCAAGAACGGGGACAATTGTTAAGTAGATTAAGTTAGCCAAATTTTCGACACATCAGAATGCAGCAAATTTCAATTTTAATTACAACGCTCGTGCTAATTTACTGGTTTTATTTATTCTGCTTGAGTAGATACCATAAGGGAAGAATTGTTAAGTAGTTCCGATAATGTTTGAAAAACTATGAACTTTGGACAAGTGTGAAAAATTTATTTGTAAAAAATTAATCCGACCGATATGCTTGCTTCAATTCAATTTGGAAAGACTTTTTATAGCGGTTTATTTGACCATGCATAAATATATTGCGTTACGTTTTCAGCGTAATTAATAAAACTTTCATAACGCGAACAAATCAACCCGGAGCGCTTAAATCAACCCGGAGCATGACCAAGTTGACAATTTTCAAATCCCCAGAACTAGTCTGATCATTCAGGGCTTTGCCTTTATACGTCTTGGCGTATTTTATAGCTAAACACATCAATGCAAAGTATCATTTAAAAATTTTGGTTTTGGTGTTCTGGCTTTCGAAGAAAGTGAGGAATATATATGCCCGTGGTGGCTTTTTTTATTCAGACCGATGTTAGAAAGTTTGACTGCGCATTGACATCGCTCCGGAAGTTTTGGGATGCTAAAGCAACGTTCTCGTTCAGTTTCATTTGATAAAGTATTTCAAAGAGAAAAGGATTCAGTACAGTTGTTTTTGACGCCGTGCTTACTCTTTTTTGATGTATGCTTTTGCTTTTGGAATAAGAATCGTATTCGAATTTTTTTTAGGAGACTTTACATTATTAGTCCTCGTTAGCGCTCTAGTAACGTTATATAGCGTAGAAATACATCCCACCTAGGCAATGTAAACACTGTGAAAATATGATATTATATGTAAGCAATGTATAAAATTTAACAGCAAATCTCTTTTGAAGCAAAAAATGCGGCGTTTTTTTCGTTTTCTCAGAATTTTTTTTATTTCGGAAGAAAAACTGTGTGCTACATGCATTGCAGCCAGCTAATTTTTCTTAATTACGGCCTGTTTTCCTAGTCTCAATGAAATCAGAGGCGGATGTCACGGATTTAAAATTTTGACTACTTAAAGGGTAAAAAGTCTTTTTTTCTTAATACGTTTTTATTCAATTTTGATGGACGAACTCTAAAACTTTTCTAAAAGCACCATTTTGAGGGGGCATTAAATTTTGGTCATAATTTTTTAAAAAACTGCATAAAAAGTACCTGATTTTTTTAAGTTAAGTTGTGATTCGCAAGAGCTCGGAGAATCAATTTGGACGATCCAAAAATTAGTGTTTGAAATTGAGGTTTTTTGATTCTGCTGGAAGTCTGTTTGTTAATTTTTTACGGTTCCTATTAGCATGCGTTATCAAAATAGAATACAGACCTTTCAAGTCTGCATCGGTTAACAACTTGTTTAACAAATCGGTTGACAACCTGATTAACAAAACCACTGAATGAATCATTTGCTCAGTTTGTTTTAATTGTATCAAAAATGAGGTACGAATGTGGCCTGTTTAGTAAGGAGGTAGCGTCCGTGCGTGATAAGACAAAAATTGTGCGCATGTTTAGCAATGAGTTGGTTTTTTTCTGGCAGAAACTTAATTTCCGGATTAATGTGTATCTGCTGAGTTTTTTCGGCTTACCTTCCATCCAAATCATGAAAGTTTTTTCTGATTGAAGCAATGCTGGAAAGCGAAGCATTTTAGTTTGTTGCTATCTCTGATTAGTCTATTTGGCCTATATGAATCCGAACATAATGCAATATACTTAATCACTTTTGATTGCGTCGTTTACTCATCTTGAAAACTATCGCTGGCTTAGTGGCAATCAATTAATTTTTTGAATGCTAATTTAACACTGTCGATTGTTTTTTTTTCGGAATATTTTTCTCAATTTAAACATCATTAGGGACAAACGCACAAATACGTTGTAACATAAACTATTTCGGCATATTAGTTTTGTCGCTTATTGCGCAACGAGCGAAAATAAAAAGTTGTTCCGGATTCCACAAGTGTAAGCGGATTTTGTAAACTAGTAGTAGTTTTCGAAAAAAATAAGCAGATTTTGCAAAATTGTAATGTATATTGTAATAATTTATTTAGACCCAGGAAACTTTCAGTAGATTCTGCCAACATTTAAGCGGATTACGCAAAACTGTTTTGTATAATGGGGTAGGACATATTCGTTTATAAATTCTGTAAAATGTTCTGGATGCCGCATACTTTGATCCGGGTTCCACTTTTGGAACAATTTTGAGCGATACAGTGTTTTAACTTTTTGTTTTTGGAATCAAAAACAGCAAAAATATCAAAGAAAAATAGCCTTGTTGGAAAGCCCGCGACATATCTGTTTTCAGCTTGTTGCGGAGTCAGCTGAGGACTCACAAATTATTGTTCCGACTTTCGAAGAAAATGGAATATTTATGCTCGGTGTGGTTTTTTTTATTCAGTCAACTTTCACCGATCGAAATAATAATTACAACAAAAATTTTTTGTACCCCATTATAAAATTAGTCATAATAATAAGATTGAATTAAACCAGCAAGGCGGAGATAAGTTGCTCTTAGTCATTGATAACAAAGTTAGTAAAATAAACTTCAAAACCATGACTCTGGATAAATCGAGTATTTAATTGTTAGTAGTTTGTCAACCAATAACACGTTCAAATTCTTTCTAAAGGTTACAGGTTCTTAAAAGTGATCATAGCCAGGCAATTTCTTCAATCTCGCGAGAGTGTTGGACATTTCTGCGTCAAATTTAAAAAATATATTCACAAAAATTGCTCCGTGTTATCATTGGCATTCTCAAAAACGTCTGGTTTCCTGTTCGATCTGAATCAGGGCCCTTGTCGATTGTCTAAAAATTAAATAAATTTATCGGCAACTCGTTATTAAGAATTTTATTCGGCAAAGTTAAACCATTTTAAATAACGCTAGTGAAATTGGCAACAGTTTGCTTTTATACAAGTAAAAAACATAATCTTCGTCAATCAATTCATTTTTTTTGTAACACCATTTTAAGCATCGACGTTGATATTTTTCTTTTCGCTTACATTGGTTTTTAGTCGGAAACCAAACTGGAGATGCATAAACAATTATTGATAGTATGGAACTTTTAAAAAGCGAAACCCGAACAGAGCTACTCAGTGAGTTTGGTCAAGATCTTCTGATGTAATTAAATTGCATGTTTGCTTTCTTAAGCCTTTCGGTGATGTGGTATATCCATGACGTTTTCAAATTGCACCAAAACCCACGGTTTTCCAACGTGTCTTTTAAAACTATTTGTTCTCAATCAATAGATAAAAAATCGCTGAACTTTGATTTTTGAAATCTAATTTGTTCAAGTTTGTCAAAAATGAAATAAGTTTTTTTTTCTGCTGCCCAGGTGATTACTTCGTCTAAATCAGTTTGAATCGAAGAAAGGTCAAAACAATTTCCAATATTTTTTGTTTCGTCAGCATATAAAAAGGAAGGGTTGTCAATTTTTTTTGGAATATCGTTTATATATATATATATATATATATATATATATATATATATATATATATATATATTGAAGATATTGACTTCTTGAGTTAATGTAAAAAGATATTTCACCTCCGATTATTTTTTTGTAAAGTTCTGGGGATTGGAAAATTGCCAAATTTGCCATGTTCTGGACTAAATTATGCGCGCTTTGAAGAGCTTATTCATAATGCTGAGAGCGTAACGCGAATTACTTATGCGTGGTGAGTTATCCCGCTTAACAAAATTGTTCCAAATTGAATTGGGGCTAGCTAATTGAGGTCGTATTAATTTCGTACGACTCAAAATTTTACTTTTTGATATTGTCCAAAATGTATAGGTTTTCAAAGTTTTTTTCTCCCAAAAACTATTCGATATGAATTAAGGAACAGCCGGAACATTCAGAGCTTTGCCCTGATAAACGAGCAGTCTTGTTCTGTCTAGCGTCGTTTTATAATGTAGGTTGTTTTCCGACTTAGTGGCCTTCGCCTCCTTTTTTTTAAGTTTGAGTTGCATTGCAATAGACGCGAAGCCTGCTTTGCCTCTGTGCTACAAATCTTTTATTTTTAAACTATAATTCAAAATTGATTTTCAGTTGGCACGAGGAGAAATATCGATATCTTGGCAGTGGCTACAAGGTCCCCAAAAGTGCCCTCTCCCGCAAGCGGCTTTCCCAGTTAGATCAAGTGATCTTGTCGGGCGAGGATGGGGATCAGAGAAAGGGGGTCAAAAGTGCATTTCACCACAGGAGGAACACTATGGGTGGGTAGCTCTCTACTTTTTGATGACACATGTCACATGCATCAAAGAATAAGGTGTCTGAAGCAGATTGGTAGAAACTTCTCAGAAATTGAAAGCGATAGTCAAAACTCTATTGGTGATTATTTTAGTCTTAAGTCCACTGCCTCTCATGTTAGTTCTATTTAAAATTGATGGTCGCTTTTCGTTCTAAAGACACAAAGACGAAATGATATTAATTGGTTTTAGTTCTGATCCTCTGCGGAAACGCTCAGCTGAATTGCATAACATTATTTAGAATGTACTTAAATTCAATATATTTTTGGTCTCATTCAAACCGTCTTAGAAAAAGTTTGAAGCTCTTCAACAGTTTGAGAGGATAATTTTTCTTAATAATTGAAAAAACTTCAAGGCTTGACGTTGAATTTGAATATCATTTCAAATATGATTTTGTAACATTTTTCAAATGCGTATACTCAGATTTTGAATTCTCCGGGCTCACGTGATGTCAGCTTACTCTTTGGGCAAAATCAGTTTTGAAGGTAGTTGCTTTAAAAAACCATCGAATTGTTTTTGGATTCGCCTAAAGTTGCAGAAGCGCAGCTCACAGTTATCAAACCCCTTATTTCAAATACTATTCGTTTCAGCCGTCCACAGGACCACGCCTAACATCTTCGATCCTAGAAAAGATTTGACCTCATCGTTCTACCATGACGTGTCTTCGCAGGCTAGTGGCGATCAATTCAAAATAGTCATATGAAATAATTGAATATGAAATAATTCCATTTTAATGTCTAACTGTTTTTTAAGGGGAAGCATGCGCAAAAAAAATCAAGTATTTTTTCGAAAATTATTGAAAATTAATTTTAAAAAAATGATGTATTTGTGATAAAATGGTCAGCATAAAAAAGATCGACTGGTTTTTTATTATCAAAATCCGCTGTACAAAAAATTTGAATTTTTCAATTTGAACCAAGAATTGTTTTAGGCTCTGTCCGAGGAGAGAGCAGGAGGTTTGAGCTCTTCTGTCGAAAGAGGGAGACAGCAGAAGAAGCATGTGGTGAAGATACCTGCTACTCTGTCACATAGGGAGAGGCCACTCACGAGGCACAGCCCAATAGTCGAAGTTGACTCAGGTGGGCAAGGAGTCAATCGTTGTGCTGACGTGACGGCACATGCTACTTTTGAAGTTTTGCCGTTTTTAATATGCCTCCTTGTAGCTAATTTCGATTTTTTCCTACCTCTTCCTTTAAAAATTAGTTTACCGGTGGCAGAATGTAATGAAGTTTTGCATGGTGACAGATGAACGCTTCGGAACACATTTGTTTTCATACTACACTTGATAATTTCAAGCATTTAGGCATAACTGTGTAACGCTTGAATGAAAATGGAAATGTTGAGTGCTAGTCTTTGATTGATTTAGGGGCATGAACGGGTCTGTATACCCTCTACCTCAGGATTTTCTCACCCTCGCTAGCCTTTTTTGACGCCAACTTTTTGGTGCCCGATTCTGCAATATAGCCTGGGGCAGATTTAGGTGTAGGGTAGGGGAAATTTTTTGAAGTTTTTACGACATTCTTTTTTGCGCAAACAATTCTAAATGTTTTTACGAAGGCACCTCGGGCAATTCTTTCGTCAAAACTTTTCAAAACTGTTGAGCAGAAACGATATTTTTGGTCTGTTTTTTTTGTAAAGTTCGCTTGTGGCGCTGAAATTGTTGGCCAAAAAGGGTGCTTACAGTAATTTGAGAGACCCCAGAAAATCAATTTCGGTCGACATGTAAAAGATGGAGAAAATATTTGAACAATTTTTGAAAATGCACCCCTCCCCCTCGAGACAATCCTAATTCCGTCCTTGATTTTAGAATTTGTAAAGAGCTTGTGAAATATTTCGAAAGTTGTCTTCAAAAAAGGCGCAACCAAGAATGAATGATCGTTCAGAAGCTTGATTGTATTTTCGTAGATCTGCATTTTGTATTCTCTTAGTTACTTATTTAGTTTCTTTAGTTCAACTGCATGTTTCTTGATTTCTTTTCCCACAGGGTTCCACAGTCCAAGAACCCCACGTCGCCACACCACTTTTGGGACCACTCCCACAATCGTATCTGCTCGGAACACATCGAGCGTGAACAAATACAACAGTGGCGAGTTCGGGTGGTCCATACGACTAAGAAGCAGCCGAAGTCTCAAGTCGCTGAGAACAAACACTTCTGAATGGTCAGATTACGAGGATGAGAATTGCAGTTGTGAAGGGGATAAAAATCACTATGATGGGCAGCATTTACGCCCTCGTGCCCAGTCTGTTTTTTACTGGGACTCATCGATGGGCTTGCCCAGTCGCAGGCGACCTCTTACAGGCGCTAAAGGTTCATTCATTTCACCATTTTCGGCTTAAAAATTCTATACATATACCGTTGGGGTTTTAATTCTCAATATGAATCAGAAAAAAGGCAAATTCGGCTGAAACGTTTGGTTAACTATCAATTAACTTGGTTCTTCAATATTGTTTTTAATATATATTTTTTTGAAGTTTCAAGTTTTTTTAAATTCTTTTATTCCGCAAATTTCAATGTATTTGAAAGTAAATAAATGGTTAAATGGATAAATGGTTAAAAGCAACATTTGCATGACAGGTTTCAAATTTCAGCATTCTGCATGTTTAATTTCACATACTCGCATCTCTCTGATTGTAGAATTCTGTCCTTTCTCTTTTCATCTTGTGTAGCTCTTCGTGAGAAGTCTCCCGTAGCTGTGAATGAAGTAGCTGACACTCACTCGGTCACTGAACTAGATGAGCCCCCTCATTGTGACCCCCACGAGTACTTGCGGGAGGGGGGAGCTATTAGGAGACCTACTTGGTGCAGGTTGATTTCTGAAGCCGACAAAAAAGAGGAACCAAATGATGGTTTGTATGCAGTAGCACTTTAGTACTAGTTCAATGCTTCTATTTTGGACGAAGTGCTCTGACACGTTGCATCAATGCGCTATAACTTTGAGCGGGTAGCGCGTGCCCACAAAACACGTTTTTATGGCCTAAACTTCCATGCAGAGCTTAAAAAGGCCATAGTTTCAAAAGAACTCTTAAAATTATCTGTGGCGCAGATTGCTGGTTGCTACACTAGATCATTGTTTGTTTTCGATCATTGAAAAATTACCGAGTATCCTCTTTGAAAAATTGAAAAATTACCGGGTCTCTTTGGATATAACTGAATCTGAATCAAATTCGGAAAACTGTTAGGGAAAACTATTTTTGCAAATTCTTGTTTGCGGCCGCAAAACAATATTTGTTGAGTTGATGCTGGCTGTCTTCTCTTTACTCTCCAGGATATCCTACTCGATGAGCAGTACTGCTCTTTAGGATCTCCCTCCAGGCATAATATATTGCTTTTGGCGTTGTATATGTAGCTGGTAAAATATTCAAATTCAAATATTCATATCGGCAGTTAATCTGAGTAAAGTTATTATCTAATGGTATATATGTTATTGCGCGTTCCAAGGTCGTGCCTATATGCCTCGATTCGCGACCAATATTCGACACTTCCAAACTGCTATGACCAAAGTTTAGTATTTTCAGACTTTTCAGACCAACCGCGGAAACGTTTTTGTGCAAACGGCACCAACGAGGGAAAAAAACACGGAAAAAAGACAAAAAAATTCCGAAATGGGACAATGATAGCCGTTTGATGTGCAAGTATCACAGACGGTTCCGACCATAATCATAACAAAATAGAAAAAAAAACTTTTTGATTTTCTTGAAATCAGTGACGGTTTTAGTGGACGGTGCGATTCGAGAATTTTGCGATCGCGTAGAGAATAATTTATTTAGGCATCATCAAAAATTTAGTTTCAAAAACGAATATCAAACAAAACATGAAGAAAAAATAATGTTTTTTTTTTTAATTTTTCATTTTTTTGTACAATAGCTCTTTAACTTTTCTTTAACATCCAAACTAGTTTTCTTGATATTGATATCAAGTTTTGCGAGCCTAAAAAATTTTTTTAAAATTAATTTGCATATAATGAGCGTTTCTCGATAACATTTTTTGCTCGGAATTGAGCTAAAAACAAAATTTAAACATGTTTTTCACAACACTGGGAGAATTTTTTGGAATTTTTTGATGTCGTTGAATCACGACTGAAATGGTTTTAACTTGATATACCACTCAATTCTCTCCGATGAGTATTTGTGGTAGCTAATTTTGAGTGAAGAAGAAGAAGAAAAAAGAAAAAATCACACCCGAATACAAAGTTGTTCCCATTTTTCAAGCGTCGGATCAATAAAGTTATCGACAAAAAGACGGCCGTTGGTTTTGTGAAAAAAAAAAACAGAATTCTTAAGCAAAGACTAAAAAGTCCTTTTTCTTAGTATTAACTTCGATAAAAAAGGACCAGAATAACAATAAATCAGTTTTTTTACAGAGTTAACAGACTTAACAGAGTAACAAATACAAATCCAAAACTAGCTCGAAGGAAACAAAACTGTCAGAGGTTGGCGCAAAAAAAGAAAAACTCTGTGCGACAGTCGAGATTGCGAGAAACATCTATGACAAGGACTGTCAGTTTTTGCCACCTATGCATCTATTTCTTGTTTTAAAAAAATGAATTATTGAATTATTTCTATGACCTATCCAATTTCTATTTGCTCACAATTTGATTATTTTAAGTAATGAGTTAAAGCACGCTTCCGTATAGCAAGTAGCAATAATAATTAGGCAGAAAAACTTAGGCCGAATAAAAAAACTTTGGTAGAATACGGCGTGAGATTTTTGTCTGGCAAATTTAACAACATATTGGTTAGGCAGTATGCAACTAACTGTCTCGGTTCAAACAACATAAAATCAATCAGCAAAAACAATAAGATAAAAGACCGCAGTCGCGCCAACGTGTTAAAAGGTTGCCTACAGAAAGTGGGTATCCTTACAAAATATAGAGCTAATTTTTGCCGTTGAAGCGGCCAAGAGCACCCACCGGTGGCCTGAAACTGCCAGTTGGCTTAGTAGTTTTCGACCGCTTTCGCGTGCAACCTTCAACTTCCATTTTTCAAGCAATTAAACTCATTTAAAGCGATTTGCATGTGGACCGATATGAAGTTGTAAGCTTGTTGCTAAGTGACCGCCCCTTACTAAAAAGAAAAAAATTCTTATTGTAAAGTAGAATAGTTTAAGAGGAATCAAGAGTCTCAAAATGAACTCAGTAGTGATAACCAAAAGCACTGAAAACATTTTCGCGCTCTTTTTCCTTTCCCCCTACCTGCGAGCTTTACAAATGAATTTTTGTTCACAGTCGCCTAATATTGCAGTTTTTTGTTCAATATTTTATTAGGTTATATCTTTTTCTTGTTGTATCCAACAGATGTCAATCGTTTTTCACTGCATTTTGCAGACAAGTTGCGAGACAAACTGCGAGACAAAAGTCTTTGGCTGGTAACAGGTTTGATATTTTTTGTCGTTTTGTTTTTGTGTCGACAGAGTGATTTCCGAGCACATGAAAAAATACTGAAAAGACTCTATGGTGCCTATAATGGCTAAAATTTCCGTGCCTCTGCTTAATTTTTGAAAATATGACAAGTGGTAATTATTTTATGAGAAAGGTGTTTTTTTTTGGCGCGCACTTTTATTTCGAAATTTTTGAGCAGAAATTTAGATATAAAGTCTCGGCCAAAACGGATGTCAGGAAAAGGAATCAAAGGGGGTTCCTTTGGGTGCTGAAGAGGTCGAAAGTGTGTGTCGGGAGGGGTAATTTTTTGGCGTACGCTGCGCCTTCCTCTTTAATCTACGCCTGGTTGAAAACATTATATTGTGAACTTTTTTCATTGACTTTGAAACCATTGCGATAAGCAAGGGTACTGCACTCGGGTACTAAGATTTCCCCTTAAATAACTCTGTTCTTGGGACTCATTTCCTTGAAGGACTCATGACCTTTGCATCTGGACTCGTTTCCTCATAGCAACCAATTTACCGGTACAGAAGTATTTTGTGCTTGTTGGGATTTTATATACCTGTTCAGTTCAATTTTTTATGTCGTTTGTAATTTAACCAACTTGATTTGCAAAGGTTTCGTGGTTTGTTCTTCTCCTTCATTTTGGCTTGATAGGTTTTGGTCTATGTTATATCGGTATAGATTAAGACCATTTATCCATGGGGGAAAGGACCAACACAAGAGCTGTACAGCTCATCACGGCGTCCAGCTGTTGTGCCCCTGTTTAAGAACTACATGCAATTTTTTTGGTTATTTTTTGGGTTGGGTTATGTTGCTTCACCCTCAAGCAACTAGCACGGATCATGGTGGGCCTCGAACATCCGACCTTTCGATTGAGAGGCGGAGACGTAAACAATTGACCACCGCTCCCCAATAGTAGCTTCATTTGTTTCATTTAAGGGGCGAACAAAGTTTTTTTGTGTGTGCGTTGAGAGTGAGGGAGACTTAATAAACTTTAAATATCTTGCTGATTTTTTTCAGCGTAAAGGGTTTCCTCTAAGGTTTTTTTGGCTTTGCTAACGCTCGGTAAATTTTCTTTTGATGCGAACTTTCCATTCTGTTGTCTTTGCTTGTTTTCGTTTCAAAACTAGCCCAATTCATTTTGATAGATCTAGTTTTGACGACTTTTTTTTCTTTTTTTTTATTTAGCGGCTTTCTTATTTTGTATCGCAAAAGCTCATCTTTGCCTGTGTAACAAATTTATTGTTTTTTTAAATTTTGTCTGGTTTCAGATTGGGCTCCCCATACTTCAGGACTGGACACTTCTGGCAAGCGAGTGCAAGACACTGTGGCCCGAGAGCGGAGTCAAATAGACAGGAAAAACAACAGAACTGAGAAGCTTTACACAGGCAAGTTATTAAGAGTCAATGAATGGATAGGAGGCTCTTTTTATGCCGAGTGGCATTTTTTCCTTTTTTCTTACAGAAATAGGTCTCAAAGGCTGAATTGAATGTTCACGCTCAATATCGATTTTTCTCGGTTTTTCAGTTGATTTCATTTTAAGTTTAGTTCAAATTCATTTCCTAAAAGGAGGGCAAATTATACTCTCCGAGAATGAAAGTACAAATCATGGAGCAAAAAAAACCTGTGTGAACTTACATAACCTAATTTTAGATATGCATAAAAGTAATAATTTAGATATAGCAAAATATTATAACATTTAAAGCAATGCTTACACTCAGTTTCATTTTCAGCACCTGATGCGTTTGTTGCGAGGAAGTCTGACAAAGAAGCGACAATAGCCGGCGATCCCTTCAGTGCCAACAGGAGTTTCGACCTCCCCAAAGGAGATGGAATGAAAATCAGGAAGAGCTCAAAGGGACCCACTTCCTTCGTGGAAATCAAAACTGACAGAGATGAATTCACGAGTAGGCTATGTCTTATGGTCATTCTTATTGTGAGCGCTTACTTAATAAATGACTCATAATATAAAGCGGCTATAACCCTGTGTTCCATATTAACTAACCATTTGCTAAAAAGGAGTTATAGGATAATTGAGTTACTAACGATTAACAGATGCGCTTTTTGAAAAGAGGGATCTTCAGAGAGGTCAAAAAATAACCTCTCCAGTTATTCGTGAAATCAGTTTGAAAATGTACAGAAACGGGTTCAACTATTTTAGTGCCACCGGCTGAAAAACTGAAAAAACCACCAGCAAAAAGCGCAACTCAGTTCGATGCTCCCGAAGAGAGGGAGAAAATAGAGCTTCCGTCTCTTCAAACTCCTATTGAGCAGCCTCGCATCCATTCCCCTCCCTCGGTCGCCACCGAAACACTGTACGAATGCGAATACTGTCCTGAAGTGTTTGCAGAGGTTCAGCATCTAGAAGAGCATGCGAAACTTCACACCAGTTAGTCTTAACTTCATCATGTTCTTTTTCAGACTCTTGAAAATGAATCAAAATCAAGCTAAATATTTTAGGAATTGTTAGGATCTTTAATCACTTTTCAACAGATCTTTAATCATTTTTCAACAGATCTTTAATCTACGTGAAAGCTTTCCTTGAGACTTTTTAAGATTTTTAGGAAACTGATTTTCAAACTTTGGCTTTTTCAAGTTCAATTGGTTTTTCTGGCCAGATGAAAGCGTTGTGAAATGTCCAAACTTGTTTTTAGTTCCTCCTCTAGAGTGTCCAAAATGTCCCGAACGTTTCTGGGACGACCAGCACTTAAAAGAGCATGTGACTGTTCATGGTAAGTTTGAGCTACATCAACTTCACAATTGCGTAAAAAATTTCAGAAACTCACGAACAGTTGTAAAATCAGGAACAAATCGGATTAATACTGTTTAACCAAATTAACCACTCATTACAATACAACGCAAAAAGTGTGTTTTTTTGGTTGAATGGTTTTTTGGTAGAATTTCTAGTTTTTCATGATTCTACTACTAATGTGACCTTATTTGTAACGGTATCCTTTTTTGGCCACCCTAAAAAAAATTTTGTTTGCCCTAAAAGTGATACTTGTAAAACATAACTGAAATTTGTTGCTCTAATCTTCGTGAATAAATTGAAGTTTTTCTGAACAAAAGTTCTTTGTTGTTTTATAGTCCCTCCCGTTGAGTGTCCTGCGTGCCCAGAGCGTTTCTGGGACGAGGAGGAGTTAGACAAACACAAAGTTGTCCATGGTAACAGTACTCGTTCATAACTACCTTTCTAGTTTTGACAGAAGCTTACGATTCTGAAGAAATATCAGCAATATTTGATTATTTTACAAAATTTTGAAAGCCAAGTTCATTTCAGCCCCGAAATTGCCCTGTCCTAAATGTGATGAAATGTTCTTCACCAAGAAGGAAATGAAAAAACATGTCAAGATACACGGTTTGTTGCTGAACTATCATCAAAAAATTTTAGTGCTTTGCTTTTAAATGTAAACAGTTTTTTCGGTGTTATGTTTTAGATCCTTCCGTAAAGTGTCCAAAGTGTACTGAACTTTTCTTCACGGAAGCAGAAATGTTGGAGCACATAACTATTCATGGTACGCCGGTTTCATTGACCTGTAAATTAATTTGAAGTCTTGGACTAGATGACTTCAATTAAAAAAAATTAAGTATTTAATTTTACTATAATGTGAAAGTGAGATTACCCTTTAGATCCAAAAGTGGAATGCAGGGATTGTGATCAGTTGTTTTTCACTGAAAGCGAAATGGAAATTCACTGGTCTGAAGTCCACGGTTCGACCTTTTGCTCCTACTTTCTGCAAATTGTAAAATTGTGACTGAATAATGAATGAAAATTGTTTTCAGAGAAGAAGCATGTTTGCAAGAAATGCGGAGAGGCATTCTTTGAAGAAAGTGAACTGCTGCAACATAAACCAATTCACGGTAAGATAAACTAACAGAGTTCCTTTAATAGGAAAGGCGAGTGTGTGTGTGGAGGGGAGTTGAGATAACTTACTCATTTTTACGTCTTCCTTCTTGCTTATTGATTGAATATCAAAAGCATTAGTCTACAAAATTCAAACTTTGAAGAAGCAAATATTGCAAATGCTTGTATTCTAAACAAAGTAATTTTACAATGTTATAGAACCCCAAATAAAATGCGTGGCCGACAAGTGCAATTGGAAGTTCTTCTCCGATGAAGACAACGAGCAACACTTTGAGTTATATCACAGTGAGTTAGATTAAACTTCTAGGGGTAGCTAGGTTAGGTCCAGTCAATAATCCTTAACTATAATCCAGCGCCGTCATTTCTTTAAAAAATATATTACCTTTGAAGTCCAACTGTTTGCTGAAGATCTGTTATACTTAGGATTCATTGCTTTTTTGGTTTCCAAAGAGATTAATTTGTCCTGTATACGTTTAGAACCTCATGTTAAGTGCTCGGAGTGTCCCAAAATGTTTTTCAACTGGGAGGAATTGGAACATCACTACAGTTATGTCCACGGTCAGTCAAGTGCTGAAGAACTCTTTTCATTTGGCTCTTAAGAACTCCATAAATGTTGTCCAAAACAATTATATATCTCGCGTAGTAGTTGATTGATGAGCACCTATGTCATGATGAAGGCTTTTATAAAACTGAATTTTTTTTATTCGTTTTATGTTCTTCTTTTTTTTCAGCTGAGAAGTTCAAGTGTCCTAAATGTGATCAGTGGTTCATAAACATAGAAGACGTTAATCACCATCTACCAGTGCACGGTTAACAAACATTTTTTAAAAGTTTTAGCAAGCGTTGTCAAATCGGAATATAGTTTTTTTTCTGCTTTGGAAAGTTTTGACCAAAAACTGGCGTTCACTTTTTGCGCGATCACTCCTCAATACTAGTATACATTGAATGCAGCGATGAAATTTTTGGCAAAAACTTTTCGCTCTATTTTGGTAGAGCTCGGAAAATCAAATTGGTCAACTTATCAAATATGTTCAAAAGACAAGCCTCCTGAGAACAAAATACGTACTATGTTTCAATTATGCTAACGAGTTTTTTGTTGCAGTATACAAAGCTGATGTCGATCATCAGAAAAAAATGAACAAAACAGATAACTCTAAACAAAAATTTCACAAAGCGGGACAAAATTAAAAGATCAAGACTTAAGTTCACTAGAACTAATAGGGTTTTTAGGCATTTACTATGCCAATGCCAAACAGTGGTTAAAAACAAAAAATAGGCAAGAATAAAATATCAGTTTGAGCTGATTTTGAAATTTAACATCACAATCCAAGTAGCCTTGAAATTTCGACCAGATTTCTCATTAGTTTTGATGTTTTCTCTTAGATCCTCAGATTAGCTGTCCAGAATGTGGAGAAAAGTTTTTCACAGAAGATCGAATGCGTGAGCATAAAACTGTCCACGGTAAGACGAAAAACATCATACTTTCCAAAAACCAAAAACCTATAAATGAATAACGCGTCGTTTGCTTGTGCGACTTTAGTTATCTTTCAATTCGCTCTAGTTACCTTAAAAAGAAAAATTGCTTTTGTCTAACTTGCCCAAATCTGTTTCAGAGAAACCGTTCATTTGCCCAGACTGCCCTGAGTCATTTTATACAGAGAAAGAACTGAACAGGCATACAGTTATTCATAGTAAGTTCAGTCAGATGGCAAGTGAGTTGTCAAAAACGGCAAGTAGTGAGTACATGCGTGACGAGTCATCATGGTGCGAATGAATAAGTGGTTTTCACTCATGGTATTGTTCTGTTCGTTTTCCATTGTTTTGTTTCAGATTTAGGGGACTTAGCGGATTTAGGGGACCTTAGGGGATTTAATTGTAACTTAGAGGATTTTTCGGGTTTTAGATTTGACCCTCTGACCACCCAAAGGGTCCTCTTTGTTAATAGTCAATTTTGGCCGATCTACCCTTAGACTTTCTAAAAGCGCTTTCAACGCCAAAATATGTAAACAAAATATATTACCAAGATTATATTTTCTGATCTTTATACTTTTTTAGAGTATCGTGTGCCTGAGCTCAAATGCAAAACATAATAACCTTAAAATGTTGAAAATATTTCAGTTTGCAGAACTAAATTCTATGGAGTGTTATGCACTTACTTTTAATGTTCAACGCGTAAATACAAGTATTTGGGAGCATCAAAAAAATCCAGCGTTCAGCGCACTTGCACATTCATTCCAAAATGAATTCCGACGAGCTAATGTTTTCATTAATTTTCTAGTAGACTAGAATTTTTTTTAGTCTTCAACAATCTTTGAAACTAGTTTACGATTAAAGCATCTTTACTTTTGTTCCAACCATTAAATCAGGTACCATAAATAATTTTTGGAATGGGTCGAGTGATATATCATTTTAAAAAACTTTCAGTCTTGATTCGAATGACGTTATAAAATTTTCAAAAAATATCCAAGTGTTGAGAAATTATAGCAATTTAGTTTAATTTCGAGCGAATAACGCGATCAAGTAACGTTCATTATATTAAAATTTTCTCTTTTTTTAGAATTTAAGGCTAAAAAAACTTGATTTTACTCTAAAGAAAACTAGTTTTGGATGTTTCATTCAGCGCTTGTTTAGCAATAAAGGTTTTCTTAAAAGATTTTAAGCTATTGTACAAAAAAAGAAATTTAAATAAAATAACTGATTAAATATTTTCTTCCCATTTTTGTGTTTGGTATTCTTTTATTGGAGAAAAATGTTGTCAATATTGCGAAATTCACTTACTTTCTACTTTTTTATAATTCTCAAATAATACCACGCACTAAAAATGACATTAATCTGAAGAAAAAAAAACTATTTCTTCTAATTTTTTTAATGAGTTTTGTCGGAACAGTATGTGCTACTTGCACAGCAACCGGCTATCCTTATTTTGTATTAGTTTTTCTCGTTTTATTGTCTTGAAGGTTATGACTTAATAGTTGTGCTCGGTGTGTTTTTTTTGCCTGACCTAGTTTGAATTTTTGACCCGCCACTTTTGAACGGAGTTTTTTGCACATTTAAAAAGTATTAAAAATTTCAGCTCAAATTTTCTAAGATATTTCATTTGTGAAAATTTGTTCAAAAACTTACAATGTTTTGATAACTGGCAAAATGGGACAATCAATTTGCGATATAATCGGCTGCTACGAGTTTTTCGGTCACGTTTCACTTTTGTTTCTTTAGAACCTCAGCTGAAGTGTCCCAAATGCACCGAGATGTTCTTCACGCAGGAAGAAGTTGATGTCCACTTGCCGATCCATAGTAAGAATACACCAAAATCAACCAAAATTAGCTCCAAAATAAATACGCCTTCTTATCTTATGGCGTGCATTTAATTCCCGCATTACAACTAAAAGAGTGCTCCAAGTTAAAAATTTACGCTAATTATTTATTGATGCTAATCAAGCATTCATTTATGTTTGTAGAGCCGCAAGTGAAATGCATCAAATGTGAAGAAATGTTCTTTTCGATTGAAGAAATGGAAGCACATCTGCCTATTCATTGTAAGTTAGCTTCGAAAACTCCCTCATCGAGTTTTTATAAAGAAATATTTTTTTTTTGATTTATCAGCCTTTTAGAATGATTCTAAAGGGATCCAAAATGGTGTATCTGACAGTAGACATAAATATAATCCAGATTTAACAAATGAAATGTTCAAAATAACAGCTATTAAAATAAACGTTCAAAATAAACGCTATCCATTATTAGATTATCTAGGAAACTGTTTGCCTTATCACATTTTCCAATTTTATTAATTTCAGTCGTGAAGAAAGCCGCTCCTCCACCACCACCCCCTGAACCCGAGTTCGTGCCTCCGCCGGTATGAAATAACTTTGTATTATCAAATAGATGAAAAGTGTCCAAAGCAAAATAGACAAAAAGTGACTATTGAAAGCACGAAAAAAAATGCTTACGTCTGTTTGGACTTATGTACAGTAGAGTGAACTCGATCTAGACAAAGTTATTTTTAAAAAATTGCTAGATGTTTTCCTTATTTTGGCAAGTTTTTTTTTCAATTTCTGTCTCACAGCAAAAACGGGTTATTTGAAACAAAGAAAGGAGTAAATTTTTCGATTTTCCATGAAAGGGGTTTGAAGAAAAAATGTTTTTTACCATTACCAAACACCACAAAAATTATTTGGATTTGCATATCATATGCCCATCTTTTTATATGCGTTTAAAATGCCTTTAAACTGCCCTTTTAAAAATCCGTCCGCATGATATGTCTGGATTCACCCTTGCCCAGATAAATAAACTCGGTTTCCTGCTTGGTTTTCACTTATACGTTTACAACAGACATTTACAAATCTTTATTTAAAAAGAAATTCAAAAAAGATCTCGAACTACAGTATTGAAAAAAGTAAAACTCAGTGGTGAAAAAATGACTGAAATAATTTTTCCTAACATCCAAATTTATACTACCCAAACAGTTTTTAATAAACTGCCGAGCAGTAATGCGTTGGTATGGTAAAAATAAAAACTTCGGTGTATGTTCTTAGCTCAATAAACAACACTCGACAGTTTCAAGCAAAAAAACGTTTGCATATCCTTTTTTGATAATATAACTAAATCATTCATAACGAATAATTAGCTGAATAAAGTAGCTTTAATTCACTTTTCTGTCCGATGATTTTTTTTGCATTAACAGATCGATAGTTTTTATTTGTATTTAAGCGTATTTTTTGCCTCTGGCTGAACTTTGTTGATTGAATTGGTTTTGTTTACTTTTCAGCTGCCAGAGCTAACTGAAGAAGAAACCGTTGAGCTGGTTAGTCAATTTCATCGTTTTTTATTTCACAGCTCTTAGCCCTTTTACTCAGTGTTGCATTATGGTGTTATGTTTTTCATCACAACAAAATATCTCAAGTTAAGGCCCTTTATCTGTAGACAAGGAGCAAGATATAGCTTTGTTAATACTAAGCGATTTAACCTTTTATTTTTAGCTTGAAAAGCTTTTTCTGGTTAATCAGAGTAATCAGACACATGTCCGCTTCTCTGAAGCTTAAAACCTCTGGCGCTGTTGACTCGTGAGTAGATCTTTAATGAGCGTCGTTTAAACGAGAAATGTGATCCTTGAGCTACCAAAATCTTGAATCAAGTGCTGATGCACTAGCCGCTCGAATAATGCCAAAATCTGAAGGTATCTTAGAGAAAAAAAAGTCATGACATCTTCAATGCTTCAAAGACATCTTCGAAGATAGGCTTTTAAAAGTAATCAAAATCTATTGTCAATAAGCTTATATCTTTCGTTTCCTTCTTGTTTTGAAATTTTTTGAAAACAGTCCATATAATATAATTCTTTTCTTCTTTTTTAAACTGTCGAAATCAGTTTTTAACTCAAAATATTGTTAAAGAACAAAGCAGCACAGGTGTTAACTAGCGCAGAAGGTTGGAATGTCCTCACAGCTATAATGTGTTCGCGACAGAACACAGTCGTGGCGCAAGCATCCGACGAGGAAATCCGAAAAGCCGTCTCGTTTATTCTCACTCGCCAAAACACGAGTGCCGCATCCCGATGCTCGAGTAGCGTCATCGCGACTCCTCGGAGTTGCGACGAGGAGTACTCGCTGTCAGTCGCCTCGTGCGGCCCCGGTGATCGGGACTCGGATATTCGCGAGCCGGTGAAAACTCGCGATGACGAAGTCTATGAGGCTCTCGTTAAAGAGTTGTCACTGTACTCGATCTCAGAGCAACCGGTGTGAACAAATAGATATAGGCAATGAAATAAAGTAGTCAGTTGGGACAAAATTTTTGGGCTTATAAAGTTTATGTAGGTCCGTAAAACTGTACCGTTCATTAGCTAATATTTTTCTTGAGGATTGATGATCCTTTGTTTGTAGCATGTTTTATCTATCATTTGCGCGATTCGATGTTGAACTATGCCAGTTCAACTCTTTTTTTTAGCTTGGTTCTTCTATTCAATTTTAGATGAGCTGTCGAAAGGTGTGCACTGAAATTGACTTCTATTTTCTGGAAGATTTTTGTGTTTGCTTTTTTGTAGCTGAAATAGTTATTTAGTCAAATTTCTAGCTGAAAAATTAGCTAAAGTGTTCTTGAAACTGATCAATTCTTATAATCAACTCTAAATGACAGGTCTGTGTGTGTAGGTTGTCGAGGAAACTAAAATACCGACGCCTGTTCCTGAACGAGAATTAGACCCTCATCTGAAACCACGACCAGCTCCACGAAGAAAGTTAGTGTGACATATAAACTAACCATCATATGATTTGAAATCTACAGAAAAAATGGGAAAAACTTATTTTTAGCGAGAACAGTATTTTCACGTTTGATGCCCAAAATGTTGCGAAAAGCTTGCAAAAAGACTAAGAACGGATCTATGATTTTCTTGATGGAGGAGGGATTTCAAAAAAATTTAAAAATTTGACCGACCTTTTCTATGTCGACTAAATTGGACGTTTCAGGCACTTTTTGCAAAACTCCGGCTCTACCCCTCGCCTGTTTCGAGCGCCCCGCCCCTAAATCCGCCCCTGGAAAAAATTGAATGATTCTTTAAAACACTACTTGGGGGCTAGAAGCTGATAGACTAAATAGTGTCTTATTCGTTTTAATATTGATTGTGCATTTTTCTCTGCAGACTACCCAAATTCAAGAAGCCACCGAGGACTGCGATACCCCCTTCGAGGATGGAGCCAGAGCCAACTCACGATCCCTTGGATTACCTCGCCAAATACTGCATCATTGTGTAAGTCATCAAAATGAAAGATGTAGGGGTGAGCGAGGGTAAGGGAAGGAAGTCTGTCACATTTTTCAACGGCTTGTCACAATCTGCGTAAGCCCTGACAAACCGTTGAGAAACTTTTTGAAGGTATTTACTCGTTATTTTGGAAGCAAAGCATAAAAGCACGAGGGTAAAAGTCTGCCTATTGAATATGGACTGCATATAATTGATAAAATTTCATTAGGCAAATTTTAAAGGTGACGTCACAAAGCCATATGTCTCCATTGAACTGAAGAGCAATGAAACGGCCGCCCGCCTTGATAAAAAATAGGTGATCTTTCGGCATCCCCGATACCACCGCTGTCGAAAAGGCAGAATCTGTGTTTCGGTAGGTCAGAATTCCTATCAACGGTTGGTTGGGTCACGGGTAATTCCACTGTTTCTTGTCGTTTTAGAGCTCTGAGTATTGCAAATCGAGAGCGTAAAGCTAGTTGCACAGCTTTTTTTTTCCACAAAGTATTGCAGGCAATTTGCAATTATACTGCTGTTTACGGGCACTTGCTGGATTTTGGTGTTTTGTTTTTTCTTCCGAATTAGAGTTTCGCATGTCCGACTGACCAGAGAATACTTCGTGGCTGTGGTCATTGCGCGAGGAAACTAGATCATCGCCAAATGTAATAGCCGTCTCCTCGCATGTGTGGGAGTGCCATATCTTGAAAAGTTTAAGTGTTCGTTTCCGTTTTCGCTTTTTCTTTTCTGTATTCTCGTGGCCACCAATAATAAGAGTGGAACATTTGCGTTGCGATAATCCCCAAGAGCTTTGGCTCATTTTGTGTAGCATTTTTGAATGATAAAAAGACAGATTGAAGCAACGTTTGCTTTCCTTCTACCGGAAAATTGCGTATTAAACTTAATTAATTATTATAACATACAATCTTTAGGCAAAGCTGGATTTTGCAACTCAATTGATTCTTAAAATTTGGTTTTAAATGAATTAACACGTGCAGGGTAAAATATGATAGTTTGGTATATACTAACGCTTGCTAATCGCAAGCGTAATTAGTACATCAAAGAATAAATTCAATTCCTACACAATTGAGCCTAAGATAAATTAGCTTAGGGTAAAAAAGAAAATGTAGGGCAGAATGGCATAGGCCAATTTAGAGCATAGGTCAAAATGGTATAGGGCAATTTGGTAGAGTATAAAATGGAATAAGTTAATCTGTCCCGCTACCAGGGGTTCAGTGGAAAAGTTTATTTTTAAAGGTTCGACGCAGCTGTTAAAGCACTCTTGTAGCCAGATTTTTATCACATCAAGTTTGAGCAGCGGCTAGGCACTCTGGTACAATTTTATTTATTGATGAACACGAAAAATAGCATTAGATTTGCGCCTACGAAAAATGGAGAAGACAATAGCAAACAGATTACAACTTCAGTTTTAACATTTACAAGTTTACAAGATTCCGTTTTAATTGTATTCCATTTGCAGGAAGGACCGTGTTCCCCTGTACAAGAAGGTGTTTCGGGACACATTGGAAAGACAGAAGAGCAGGATGGGCATAGACTATGAGGACGAAGAAGACGAAGTGGTCAACAAATTCCGACTCATGCGGAGAGCCAAATCGGGAGGTAAACTTAATACGGAACTCAGCAGTACTTAAATGATTATAAAGAACTGAAGTTTAAAAAGACAAACCAGTTACGCATCTTTCTTTGGTGGGAGCTGGTAATAATTTTGCAAAAAATGAAAAAGTGTTTTTTTTCCTTCCTCGGAAAAGACGATGAAGACTAATACTGCGTTTATTAAGCGACTGATTATGTTTGAATTTTTTTCCAAACTTTTCAAAATGCCAAAACAACTGATTCAAAAATTGACCCATCTAAATTTAGTTTGATATTGTTCGATAAACCTTATACTTTTTGTTCGATAAGCCTTTAACAAGATAACAGTGTCCTAATTGCTCTTCACAAACAATGAGACCATCTGAAATTTCTCTACCATTTTTTTCGTCTTTCCAGCTATCAAAGTTGACCCCGAGACAGGTGAGTTGAGTGACCCCACAGTGTCGATCGTGAACCCAGATGACCTTCCGAAGACAGAGGGCGAAGAGGACGATGGACCTCAGAGGGAGGAATTCGAAGGAGATTTTGACCCCAGACTGAATGTGGATCTGGAATTGACAAAAAAATCTGTGGAGTATGAGCACTACTTGGTAAGAATTTGTAAATTCTGATTATTTTAACAATAGAGGATAACTCAAACGCAAATTTCATTGGTTGCGGTTAGAAGGAAGGGCCGTTTGCGCTATCTCGCATTGTATAAATAAATTACCAAGAAAATATCTAGATTGTGTATTGCAAACTTTGCAAAACGATGCAATGAAAGTCCTTAAAGTTGGTTTTTGAAACCATTAACCGTAAACGATTATCGCTAAGCGATAAGCATGGGCATTGCAACATGATACTAAATTTTTCCCGTTAGTTTTTTTTTTACAGAATTCATCTGTTTATTTTATCAGAATACTGATTTTTCTATTAAATTTGGTAATTAAGCGCAGAGTTGACGAACTTTTATGCGTATGAGTTTCGAGGAGCGGGAACGTATAAGCTTTGAGTTTCATTTGGTTAGTGAATATTGATGCTATTTTAACGTTTGCCATTGTGTTTTATATATTTTTGCAAAAAAAATGCGAAAAAAAAATTAAAAAAAAAGACGTGCTTTGTAGTTTTTTGACATGTTTAATTAAACATACGTTATTTTTTTTGTTTTGGTGTTTTCGTCTCTTTTTCTGTCGGCTGGCTTACCATGTTAGCTTTGAGTATTTAGGTTTGAGTGTGGTCTGAGCATTTTCAGTGTAAGACTACACGACAAAATTAACGACCACCCATCTACAATTTTAACGTTATTCTACTACATCTAAGGTTCTTTCAGCCATTCTGTACCGCTTGCAATTTTTTCATCTAATTCAGTCGCCCTCTTAAAAAAAGTAATCGATACGGAAAAAGTGAATACATTTTTTGGAAAAAGTTTTGAGGTAGAGTAATTGCAACTCAACTCCCTCTTCTTTTTTTCCTATAAAATGAGCTTTTGGTTTTTGCTAGATGAATCAGCGGGAGCTGCTGAACAAGATCAACTTCACAATCTCCAACATAGAGTCCAGACAAGTCAAGATGTCACAGGACAATATGCAGATGGAAAGTGAGTACTATTAACGAACTCAGTGAACTTATTGTGTAATCATTGCATGAATAAATCAAAAGAGGGCAATTTTCTGCGCAGAAAATTAAGTACATCATTCAAAGATATTGAGAGCATGGAAAACTTGCATGGCAGTAAATTTTTTATGGGATCGAGGATTTTTCTACTGCCACCTGAATGTCAATCAAAAACAAGGGTCGGACAGGATACTTTAAGATAGTAGCAAAGATCCTTTAGAAAAAGTTAGCTACCAGATTTGAGAGAGTGGCGGTCAAAACATCGAATCCACGGAACACAATGTACCACAAAAATTTATTGTCCATTTTTGGAATCTGTAGAAAAGTTTAGAGGCAGTATTCAATTCTGTTACGAGAGTGAGCCATTTTTACTGACTCCATTATACACCGTTTAAGACTTGTCTGCGGGATCCTTTAAGTTTAAGTTGTTCAGAGTCGATATTTTGATTTGTGTGATAAAAAACTGTCATTTTTTCAGAGGAAAGAGTTAAATTAATTTGTCAGTTTGCCCGAAATGAACTGAAAGAAGAACTGTTCCCCAAACCAGAGGCTGACTCTAAGAAGGGAGGCAAGAAGGGAGGAAAAGACAAGGGCAAAAAGGGCAAAGGGAAAGGAGGGAAGAAAGGGAAAGGCCCTGAGCCAGTGGAGTTTCCCGAGTGGATGAACACGGAGTTGGTTGAGGATGTGAAGAGTGATGAGTATGTGATGGCTAGACTGGACGAAGACCAATGGTGGATGGTAAGTGTAAAGGGACGATGAACAGGCGAAGGTATCCAGCTCTTTGTCGAGGCAACCCATGATCGGAGCGGGGAATCCCACATGGTTGAAGAACCGAATGCGCGAATTTTGTCAGCCTATACGAATTCATTATTCTTCAAACAAGCAATAAAATCAGTCAGTTTTGCATTGATTAAAGGGCATTGATTGGGTGAGAATTTTTGCACATTCGGTTCTTCGCTAATGAGACTAGACCGATTTGTGCTCGTTGCCCGAGGGCAAGGCAACAATTGTCAGAACAAGAAAGTTACCGACAAAAAGCATGAGTTGCTCAAAGAGGGGCTCAATTTCAGATGTCTACGTGTTTCAAAAAAATGGATTGATGAAATTAGCTTTTCTAAGAGACAATGAATGAAGTGAAGACACGTATTTCGTTCTTATTTTTTGGTTTTTTAAAAGTCTAAGAATTATGACACGCTCATATTGTATTGTTCGTGATTTGACTTCTGATTTCGTTTTAAAGTCAATTCAATATCATTTGGTATTAGAAGGCACATAACGCTCTACAATAACAAAATGCAGTTGGCTCAGCAGACAATGTGAAGGACTGTAGTTTAAAAAAAGGTTTTTGTTTTTAAAAAATATCAGCAAAAATATTATTCATTGACCGTTTTCTTTGATTTGTTTTACTTCATGAAAAAAAGGGTCAATCATCATAAGGTTCTTGTAGCTCAAATAGTTTTAAGATGATGTTTTCAAAAATTAGAAATTCAAAAATGGTTTTAATTTTCTAGCAAATCAAAATAACACCATGAACCTTGTTTAGGAAAGCAACGGATTTAAAAGTGATTAAAGGCCGTTTGGAATCCTTTCTTAAATCTAAAACAACAAAATGAAAGTTTTGAACTTTTTTATGAATCACATCACACTATGGAAGTTTTAACTGTGGAAGTTTTAACACTGTGGTCAAATCAATTGCAAAACGGCAGAACAGTTGATCCACCCACAAAACGCTCGGAGTTTCAACCGCAGACTTTTTGAGGAAGGCGAACTCCTTGCTATATAACAAACGTTTTTTCAAGTAATTAGGAACATAACAGATTTTTGGCATTGGTTTTTCATTATTAAACAAAAACTGATACACGGTAAAAATGTTTTATTGAAACAGCATAAGCCAGTTACTGCGTCAGTAGCTCAACATTTTCAGACCACTTGTGGTTTATTTGTGGTACAGAATTTGGGGTGAAATGAAACACCTATTTTTTTCGTTTTCATTGATCAGAACAACTAGAAAACAAAATGAAAGTTTTGAATTTTTTTTTATGAATCACACAGTGGAAGTTTTAACTAGGTCAAATCATTTGCAAAACGGCAGAACAGTTGATCCACCCACAAAACGCTCGGAGTTTCAACCGCTGACTTTTTGAGGAAGCCGAATTCCTTGCTATATAACAAACGTTTTTTAAAGTAATTAGGAACATAACAGATTTTTGGTATTCTTTTTTTCATTATTAAGCAAAAGCTGATACACGGTAAAAATGTTTTATTGAAACAGCATAAGCCAGTTACTGCGTCAGTAGCTCAACATTTTCAGACCACTCGAGGTTTATTTGTGGTACAGAATTTGGGGTGAAACGAAACACCTATTTTTTTCGTTTTCATTGGTCAGAACAACTAGAAAACAAAATGAAAGTTTTGAATTTTTTTTATGAATCACACAGTGGAAGTTTTAACTAGGTCAAATCAATTGCAAAACGGCAGAACACTTGATCCACCAACAAAACGCTCGGAGTTTCAACCCCTGACTTTTTGAGGAAGGCCAACTCCTTGCTATATAACAAACGTTTTTTAAAGTAATAAGGAACATAACAGATTTTTGGCATTGGTTTCTCATTATTAAACAAAAACTGATACACGGTAAAAAAATTAAATTGAAACAGCATAAACCAGTTACTGAGTCAGTAGCTCAACATTTTCAGACCACATGTGGTTTATATTTGTGGGTTTTTTTTGGTACAGAATTTGGGGTGAAATGAAACACCTATTTTTTTTTCGTTTTCATTGGTCAGAACAACTAGAAAACAAAATGAAAATTTTGATTTTTTTTATGAATCACATCACACAGTGGAAGTTTTAACTAGGTCAAATCAATTGCAAAACGGCAGAACAGTTGATCCACCCACAAAACGCTCGGAGTTTCAACCGCTGACTTTTTGAGGAAGCCGAATTCCTTGCTATATAACAAACGTTTTTTAAAGTAATTAGGAACATAACAGATTTTTGGCATTGTTTTTTCATTATTAAGCAAAAGCTGATACACGGTAAAAATGTTAAATTGAAACAGCATAAGCCAGCTACTGCGTCAGTAGCTCAACATTTTCAGACCACTTTTGGTTTATTTGTGTTACATAATTTGGGGTGAAATGAAACACCTATTTTTTTCGTTTTCATTGGTCAGAACAACTAGAAAACGTTATTGTTTGAATTTTTACACTTGAAATAACCTAGATAAGACTTGATCAAGTTTTTTAGGACAACTGTTTGATTGAAAGGATTAAAGACAAAACTGAGAATACTAAAAACCTTATGTTTTTTTCATGTGTTGAACTCGTTCAAAACTTAAATAAACCTACGCTGAAATCTCAAATTTAAATATGCTGATTGCTCTATTTCCCGCCTTGAACTATATGCAATCAGTTTAGTTATATACAAAGTTGTTAAGAATTTCGACAAAAAACGACATTTTTTTATTAAAATATGGAATATTTTCAAAATTTGTATAGCTAGTTTTTGTTCGCATTGCTTAGTAGTGCATCTGCTTTGAAAGAAAGATTTCTTAAAACCGAGCAATAATTTTGTCATTGTTAAATTTTTTTTAATTAAAAAACTGACTAAAAAGTTACAGTTAGCTTCATCTATGGTACTTGTATGCAAAACTTGAAAGTTTATTTTTGACTGAAACTTGATTTTTTATTTGAGAGCATACATTTTGTAAGATGAATAGCAACTGAGTCTAAAGCTAACAAACAGTATTGCAATTCGAACTTGCATACTATCGAAACTCTATTTGAAACGTTATGGATCATAGGCACAATTTTTTTTTCATAAATTTGCGTAATTTCTTAGTGATTCAGCTCATATTGCATAAAATTAAAAAACAAATTATGATTGAATTCCTACGTGTCATATTCACGTTTGGTGCTTGTTTTAATACCACCTAATGAGTGTAAATTTTTCAAGCTCTCTTTAACAAAACCATTTAAAGTTTCTAGGAATACGATGCTTTTTCTAAACTCAATCAACACCAAAAACAACTGAAATTGAGATTTTGGCAATAAAATTGAACCATTCTGCTTTTTTGTAGCATAAAATTTTGTCTCTTTTGCCAAAAAATTAAATAATTTTGTTTTCCATCAAAATGACACGCTCTGTTTTATAAAGTACGAATTAATTTTTTGCGTAGTTTTTCGGACTCTTTTGCGTAGTTACTATTTTTGCCAACAGCTGATATTTTAAAAACTAGTTCTCAAAATACGCAATTAGAATAACTATTTCAGCTGTTTTTTGTTGTAAATGTCTTGCGTTTTGCTTGTTGGGTTTTTGATCTATTCTTTTATCTGTTGGCCTATTTGGTGTTTTGACAACAAAATTTTAGGCAAAGGCTAGCAGTTAAAACTATCATTCGAGGTGCAGCAGAAAAAAAGCTGGGAAGTTATCAGAAGTAGAAAGAGAAAAATCCATCAAACGAAACAAAAATGTATGAAAAGAAAAGAAGAGGGTTGACTTTAAAAAAGAGAATAGCCAGTTATAAATAACTGTAAAAATTGACACTAAGAGGTAAAAAAAGCAAACAATATTTGACTAGACGACCGATGAGTCAAAAATTGTCATAAGTTTTTCCAAGAAAAGTTTTCATGTATCTCCAAGGTTTCAACCTTCTTTTCTCACTCACCGAAGCCCACACGCTGAAAATTATAAATTCGCCTTTCATAGCGACGTATTACCAGACAACTAAACTGATATAATATCAGCAGAAACCCCTTAAGCCGAAAAAAAATTTTAAAGAGAAAAGAAAGAAAATTACTATTAATAAATATCAGGTAACAATTCAGCACCTTTTAAGAATAAAAAAATGCATTTTAAATATAGTAACGATCGCTTAAAACAAAATTTTTTCTATAATTCAGAAAGCAAATCGATTAATATAATCATACAGACGATAATTTGACAGTTGAATTTTTCCCAGAAAATAAATTCTCTCTCACGAAGTGCTACTCGCAAGTGCAACCCTTGATAATCGCAAATTCTAGACAAGTAGTTTGTGGGTGTTTTTTTTTCACGCAAGGACAGTTATCACAAAAATACGTTGTACGAGGTTGAGTGACATATACCTAAATAGCCTTCTGAATCGTTTTCAAAAAAAAAAAAAATTTTTATCACTGTCCAGAAAAAATCTCTACTACCTTTTATGATCTTCATAGGAGTTTTGAGCTAACAAATGAGCAAACACATTAATTCAGTTTTCTCTGAGTTACCCCAGACAGTGCTAAAAATCAATTTGTACGTTGATGAGCTTGTTAATAACTAAATATGAAGCTTTTATTAGCTCCTTTTAGTTAAACTCAGCCTCCTTTGAAAAATTTTGAAATATGGAAAAAAATTGGATGATATAACGTTTTTTTTTGCAGAAACAATACAATAGCTGTTATCCACTAGCGTGCCGAGGGGGGAGACTGCCCCCCTCATTTCTGGTTGCCAAAGTTTTCCAAAGGGTCACCCTTTGATATAACTTTATGACATCCATTTTTTGCTGAACAACCTCAAAATTTTTCCAAAGACGCCTTTGGCGCCAATATGAATAATTTTGAGGGGGTGGCGCTCGCCGAAAAAGGCTATTTTTTGATCAAAGTTTTCCAAAAAGTGCCTAAAAATGCCTTTTTTTGGCCGTTTTTTGAAAAATTTGACTGTGGTGCAGAAAACTTTTCACAAAATAGGGTCCTTGATATCTATTTTAGGAGAGCTCGGAAAACCAATTTGGTCAACCTAAAAAAAGGGCGACAAAATTTTTAAAGTTTTTTGAAAAACCGCCACCCCCTGGAAAAATTTCTGCGCAAGCCGCTGCTGTTACCACTTTCAGCGCGACTTGCACAGCAACCGCATTTGAGCTTTGAAATTGAACAAAAATAAATTTTATAAGAGAATTTTTAAATAACGAACTCAGTGAACTTATTGTGTTAATCATTGTATAAATAAATCAAAAGAGGGCATTTTTCTGCGCAGAAAAATAAGTACATCATTCAAAGATATTGAGAGCATGGAAAACTTGCATGGCAGTAAATTTTTTATGGGATCGAGGATTTTTCCACTGCCACCTGAATGTCAACCACAAACCAGGGTCGGACAGGATACTTCAAGATAGCAGCAAAGATCCTTTAGAAAAAGTTAGCTACCAGATTTCAGAGAGTGGCGGTTAAGACATCGAATCTACGGAACAAAATGTACCACAAAAATTATTTAATTCTGTTACGAGAGTGAGCCATTTTTACTGACACAATTATACACCATTTAAAAATTGTCTGCGGGATCCTTTAAGTTTAAGTTGTTCAGAGTCAATATTTTGATTTGTGTGATAAAAAACTGTCATTTTTTCAGAGGAAAGAATTAAATTAATTTGTCAGTTTGCCCGAAATGAACTGAGAGAAGAACTGTTCCCCAAACCAGAGGCTGACTCTAAGAAGGGAGACAAGAAGGGAGGAAAAGACAAGGCGAAAACAGGCAAAGGGAAAGGAGGGAAGAAAGGGAAGGGCCCTGAGCTAGTGGAGTTTCCCGAGTGGATGAACACGGAGTTGGTTGAGGATGTGAAGAGTGATGAGTATGTGATGGCTAGACTGGACGAAGACCAATGGTGGATGGTAAGTGTAAAGGGACGATGAACAGGCGAAGGTATCCACTTCTTTGTCGAGGCAACCCATGATCGGAGCGGGGAATCCCACATGGGCGAAGAACCGAATGCGCAAATTTTGTCAGCCTATACGATTTCATTATTCTTCAAACAGGCAATAAAATCAGTCAGTTTTGCATTATTTAAAGGGCCTTGATTGGGTGAGAATTTTTGCACATTCGGTTCTTCGCTAATGAGACTAGAGCGATTTGTGCTCGTTGCCCGAGGGCAAGGCAACAATTGTCAGAACAAGAAAGTTACCGACAAAAAGCATGAGTTGCTCAAAGAGGGGCTCAATTTCAGATGTCTACGTGTTTCAAAAAAATGGATTGATGAAATTAGCTTTTCTAAGAGACAATGAATGAAGTGAAGACACGTATTTCGTTCTTATTTTTTGGTTTTTTAAAAGTCTAAGAATTATGACACGCTCATATTGTATTGTTCGTGATTTGACTTCTGATTTCGTTTTAAAGTCAATTCAATATCATTTGGTATTAGAAGGCACATAACGCTCTACAATAACAAAATGCAGTTGGCTCAGCAGACAATGTGAAGGACTGTAGTTTAAAAAAAGGTTTTTGTTTTTAAAAAATATCAGCAAAAATATTATTCATTGACCGTTTTCTTTGATTTGTTTTAGTTCATGAAAAAAAGGGTCAATCATCATAAGGTTTTTGTAGCTCAAATAGTTTTAAAATGATGTTTTCAAAAATCAGAAATTCAAAAATGGTTTTAATTTTCTAGCAAATCAAAATAACACCATGAACCTTGTTTAGGAAAGCAACGGATTTGAAAGTGATTAAAGGCCGTTTGGAATCCTTTCTTAAATGTAAAACAACAAAATGAAAGTTTTGAATTTTTTTATGAATCACATCACACCATGGAAGTTTTAACTGTGGAATTTTTAACACTGTTGTCAAATCAATTGCAAAACGGCAGAACAGTTGATACACCCACAAAACGCTCGGAGTTTCAACCGCTGACTTTTTGAGGAAGGCGAACTCCTTGCTATATAACAAAGGTTTTTTAAAGTAATTGGGAACATAACAGATTTTTGGCATTGGTTCTTCATTAATAAACAAAAACTGATACACGGTAAAATTGTCAAATTGAAACAGCTTAAGCCAGTTACTGCGTCAGTAGCTCAACATTTTCAGACCACTTGTGGTTTATATTTTTGTTTTTTTTTTTGGTACAGAATTTGGGGTGAAATGGAACACCTATTTTTTTGTTTTCATTGGTCAGAACAACAAGAAAACAAAATGAAAGTTTTGAATTTTTTTTATGAATCACATCACACTGTGGAAGTTTTAACTAGGTCAAATCAATTACCAAACGGCAGAACAATTGATCCACCCACAAAACCCTTGGAGTTTCAGCCGCTGATTTTTTGAGGAAGGCGAACTCCTTGCTATATAACAAACGTTTTTTAAAGTAATTAGGAACATAACAGATTTTTGGCATTGGTTTTTCATTATTAAACAAAAACTGATACACATTAAAAATGTTTTATTGAAACAGCATAAGCCAGTTACTGCGTCAGTAGCTCAACATTTTTAGACCACTTGTGGTTTATTTGTGGTACAGAATTTGGGGTGAAATGAAACACCTACTTTTTTTCATTTTCATTGGTCAGAACAACAAGAAAACAAAATGAAAGTTTTGAATTTTTTTTATGAATCACATCACACTATGGAAGTTTTAACTGTGGAAGTTTTAACACTGTTGTCAAATCAATTGCAAAACGGCAGAACAGTTGATACACCCACAAAACGCTCGGAGTTTCAACCGCTGACTTTTTGAGGAAGGCGAACTCCTTGCTATATAACAAAGGTTTTTTAAAGTAATTGGGAACATAACAGATTTTTGGCATTGGTTCTTCATTAATAAACAAAAACTGATACACGGTAAAATTGTCAAATTGAAACAGCTTAAGCCCGTTACTGCGTCAGTAGCTCAACATTTTCAGACCACTTGTGGTTTATATTTTTGTTTTTTTTTTGGTACAGAATTTGGGGTGAAATGGAACACCTATTTTTTTGTTTTCATTGGTCAGAACAACAAGAAAACAAAATGAAAGTTTTGAATTTTTTTTATGAATCACATCACACTGTGGAAGTTTTAACTAGGATAAATCAATTGCCAAACGGCAGAACAATTGATCCACCCACAAAACCCTTGGAGTTTCAGCCGCTGATTTTTTGAGGAAGGCGAACTCCTTGCTATATAACAAACGTTTTTTAAAGTAATTAGGAACATAACAGATTTTTGGCATTGGTTTTTCATTATTAAACAAAAACTGATACACATTAAAAATGTTTTATTGAAACAGCATAAGCCAGTTACTGCGTCAGTAGCTCTACATTTTCAGACCACTTGTGGTTTATTTGTGGTACAGAATTTGGGGTGAAATGAAACACCTACTTTTTTTCATTTTCATTGGTCAGAACAACCAGAAAACAAAATGAAAGTTTTGAATTTTTTTTATGAATCACATCACACTGTGGAAGTTTTAACTAGGTCAAATCAATTGCCAAACGGCAGAACAATTGATCCACCCACAAAACCCTTGGAGTTTCAGCCGCTGATTTTTTGAGGAAGGCGAACTCCTTGCTATATAACAAACGTTTTTTAAAGTAATTAGGAACATAACAGATTTTTGGCATTGGTTTTTCATTATTAAACAAAAACTGATACACGGTAAAAATGTTTTATTGAAACAGCATAAGCCAGTTACTGCGTCAGTAGCTCAACATTTTCAGACCACTTGTGGTTTATTTGTGGTACAGAATTTGGGGTGAAATGAAACACCTACTTTTTTTCATTTTCATTGGTCAGAACAACAAGAAAACAAAATGAAATTTTTGAATTTTTTTTATGAATCACATCACACTGTGGAAGTTTTAACTAGGTCAAATCAATTGCCAAACGGCAGAACAATTGATCCACCCACAAAATGCTCGGAGTTTCAACCGCTGACTTTTTGAGGAAGGCGAACTCCTTGCTATATAACAAACGTTTTTTAAAGAAATTAGGAACATAACAGATTTTTGGCATTGGTTTTTCATTATTAAACAAAAACTGATACACATTAAAATTGTTTTGTTGAAACAGCATAAGCCAGTTACTGCGTCAGTAGCTCAACATTTTCAGACCACTTGTGGTTTATTTGTGGTACAGAATTTGGGGTGAAAAGAAACAACTATTTTTTTCGTTTTCATTGGTCAGAACAACTAGAAAACAAAATGAAAGTTTTGAATTTTTTTTATGAATCACATCACACAGTGGAAGTCTTAACTAGGTCAAATCAATTGCAAAACGGCAGAACAATTGATCCACCCACAAAACCCTTGGAGTTTCAGCCGCTGATTTTTTGAGGAAGGCGAACTCCTTGCTATATAACAAACGTTTTTTAAAGTAATTAGGAACATAACAGATTTTTGGCATTGGTTTTTCATTATTAAACAAAAACTGATACACGGTAAAAATGTTTTATTGAAACAGCATAAGCCAGTTACTGCGTCAGTAGCTCAACATTTTCAGACCACTTGTGTTTTATTTGTGGTACAGAATTTGGGGTGAAATGAAACACCTACTTTTTTTCATTTTCATTGGTCAGAACAACAAGAAAACAAAATGAAAGTTTTGAATTTTTTTTATGAATCACATCACACTGTGGAAGTTTTAACTAGGTCAAATCAATTGCCAAACGGCAGAACAATTGATCCACCCACAAAATGCTCGGAGTTTCAACCGCTGACTTTTTGAGGAAGGCGAACTCCTTGCTATATAACAAACGTTTTTTAAAGTAATTAGGAACATAACAGATTTTTGGCATTGGTTTTTCATTATTAAACAAAAACTGATACACGGTAAAAATGTTTTATTGAAACAGCATAAGCCAGTTACTGCGTCAGTAGCTCAACATTTTCAGACCACTTGTGGTTTATTTGTGGTACAGAATTTGGGGTGAAATGAAACACCTACTTTTTTTCATTTTCATTGGTCAGAACAACAAGAAAACAAAATGAAAGTTTTGAATTTTTTTTATGAATCACATCACACTGTGGAAGTTTTAACTAGGTCAAATCAATTGCCAAACGGCAGAACAATTGATCCACCCACAAAATGCTCGGAGTTTCAACCGCTGACTTTTTGAGGAAGGCGAACTCCTTGCTATATAACAAACGTTTTTTAAAGAAATTAGGAACATAACAGATTTTTGGCATTGGTTTTTCATTATTAAACAAAAACTGATACACATTAAAATTGTTTTGTTGAAACAGCATAAGCCAGTTACTGCGTCAGTAGCTCAACATTTTCAGACCACTTGTGGTTTATTTGTGGTACAGAATTTGGGGTGAAAAGAAACAACTATTTTTTTCGTTTTCATTGGTCAGAACAACTAGAAAACAAAATGAAAGTTTTGAATTTTTTTTATGAATCACATCACACAGTGGAAGTCTTAACTAGGTCAAATCAATTGCAAAACGGCAGAACAATTGATCCACCCACAAAACCCTTGGAGTTTCAGCCGCTGATTTTTTGAGGAAGGCGAACTCCTTGCTATATAACAAACGTTTTTTAAAGTAATTAGGAACATAACAGATTTTTGGCATTGGTTTTTCATTATTAAACAAAAACTGATACACGGTAAAAATGTTTTATTGAAACAGCATAAGCCAGTTACTGCGTCAGTAGCTCAACATTTTCAGACCACTTGTGTTTTATTTGTGGTACAGAATTTGGGGTGAAATGAAACACCTACTTTTTTTCATTTTCATTGGTCAGAACAACAAGAAAACAAAATGAA